CACAGGCGACCAATCAGCTGCAGCGGATCTCATGAAAGAGCCAATTAACTATTAAACACTGCCCCCTGCGCACGCACTGGTGTAAGTGCGGACTGGAGCCGGAATCAGGCCTGGACGTCTTCAACACATGATGCAAATCTATACAGTGATGTACACCTGCAACTGGGATAACTGAGAGTGGAAGTTTAGAGATTGTAGATAGTCCTGAAATTAAGATTAAGAGATTGTGTCCCACAGTGGGGAGATTTCAGTGTTGCATCACCAGTTACAGATCAGTAGGAATGAGGAAAACACAACATACAGAACATAAAATCTTTAACTAATAAAGAAGCAAGAACTAAGTATAACATCTTTAAAATACAGTATATTCTTGTGCAAGAAACATCTGCAGATCTGTAAGTCCTTTCACATGCTATGGACCAACCACTACTATTGTTACTTTTAGAATTATGTATTTAATTTTTTGTATGGATGGATTAGTTTCTTCTTCTGGACACAATTTCTCCAATGGGATAATTCAAGTATATATCTATCTATTTAAAAGTGTTAAAGGCCTATTCCAATTGCTGTATTGTTTTCTTTCGTCAAATGTGTTATGCTGCCTTTACTAATGTCTGCTTTAATAATAACTAATCGGTTTTATCCCACGCTTTTCAGGACACTCAAAGACGGTTGACATGTCATTTTTCACGGCTGCCCTGAGGCAAACTGACAGAAGCGAGGCAACTAGTATGTGCCATCGGCCCCTCTGACCACCACCAAACATTCACACACACCCACCAAACTCTTTCTGGGCGTGGGTGAAGTGTCTTGCCTACGGACACAACAACAATCTGGTTCTTTATAGTCGCAGCCGCCCCGCTGTGGCACCTAGTGTTCGGTCTCCCATCACGTACTAACCAGGCCCTGCCCTGCACAGCTTCAACGGTCTGACGGAATCCAGCTTTCACATGCAGGTAACATTAGTAATCATACACTAACAATGCATGGTCCTTTTATTTCATTGTGTTTGGTTTATTTGTTTTTTAATGATTTTACTGTCTAACTAAGGATTTGTTTTTAAATTATGTTTCAGTTTCTTACTGTGAAGCACTTTGGAAAATGTGCGTTAATGAAATGTGCTACATAAATAAAGTGGATTGGATTGTTTATATGTGTATGCGGCGTTTAGTGTTGCTGTTTGTCGATGGCTGTGACATGGACCTGCCGTGGGACTACAGCCGGAAACCCTCTGTGTGGTTTGTGGATTAATGTGCGCTGTTCCATTCAATGAAACAATAAATTGGCTTTAAAGTGAGCAATACTTTCATTTTGCTGAATTGTGCAATGTTCAGCTTTTCTAACCCCCTTTGTTTCCCTGATGTATCGGTTTATATACATTTACTTATGCACATTTATTCTCATGTATGGGCATTGGTCTTCCTGCTCCCTATGGACCAACGGCTCCCATGTGTGTTTGTTATTTTTGATCGGTCGTCGGCGAATACACAAGAGCTTAGAATTGAGTTTTATTAAGGACAAAGTGCAGTTACATTAAAAGAGATGGCTGCCCCCTGATTCAACACCGTGCTACTTTCCGCCTGTAGTGTTGACAATACAATCATATAAAATACATATCAAAATAAGGTTAAGAAAAAGGGAAAGTTACCCACATAATTACAACTTTATAAAGTCCCCCGAGACGTTTGCTGTTTTGATTTAGTGCTATACAAAAACTAAACGGAATTGAATTTAATTATGTATTTGAGTAAGGTGATATTGCCTTACTCATACCTATAACTATAAAACTATGATATCCAATCAGCTGTGGGATCAGATATGTTATTATTCATCTTATCTTCACACACATATAGAGTCCATACAACACAAATACAAAGACAAAAAACAGTAAACTATCTTTTCTTAACATTTTCTTTGTCGTACAAGTCTTTTCTATCCCATATTTTGTTTATAGTCGATGCAGTTTGTTGAGCATTTACAGGAACTCAACCTCACCAGGTCTGTCGTGTTGAGCAGCTAAGGATACAGTGTGTGCGTCAAAAAGCCATCCATTAACACAAGTTTCACCGTTTATCATGTCACAAAAAAAACAACTATTTTTATCTTATTTTACATTTTTACATGTAGTGGCGTGTTTCGAAGCACTTTAACAAAGGTCACATTTAAGTGCTGTGATGCTAAAGGGATGGACAGGCAGCTAAATTATACAAACGTTATACATACAAAAGTAGACGAGAATGTGCACATACCCCTGCAACACCCTTAAATTTGAATGGGGTATTCCACAAACACCCAGAGACGATTACAATAGCCCCCAGATTGGCAGGGTAAATGTTTGTTCAAGTTAAAAGCATGAGATCCCAAATGTATGAAGCAGGAATATAGTTTTTTTTTACTTCAAATGGTGATATTTTGTTAGCACCGAAAAGGGAAAAGTCTGTCCACGTTTTTCCGCACCTGAGATAACAAAATATATCCAGTGAGCTTACAAAAATAAAAAATATTGTCGGAATAAAGTGAGGAGATATCTTTGTTACCGATATCTTTGTCAACATTGGACACATGCAGTAGTATAAAAACTGTTCTGAACCATCTCTGCTGCATAATTTATCCATTATTATTTCTAAAAAACATTGTATTACTTACTGCACATGGTGGAGATATAAAAAAAAGTCAATTCATTTACACAAATTCTGACTGTTTCCATTGTTACCAGATGAAAAAAACGTGATAGTATTTGCTTGGCTCTGGAAACTGTTCCGTCTGTGATTGGCCAGAGAGAGTCCACGGAATTTCATTATAATGGACTATGGCAAGTCTATTGCCCATGTGGAGCAATATAAACATCTTATTATTATTATATTTTTTATGAGGACAATTCATGAAGGACAAGGAGCACGTGTAACAGCCCCAACTTTGATCGTAAAAGCATCGCTCTTGTTACGCTGTCATTATGCAGAGTATTATTCCTTGCATTTATAGCCTTCTTTGAATCAGTTTGTTTTTATTGCTGTCTAAATCGCCGCTACATTGTATCAACTGAACACGACTTGGCAAGAGCAGCCTTAATCGGGCCATTAGGTTTACAAGCTGCATTTGGAGGCCCTGAGCTGGGAGAAGTATGGCATCTTGAACTTTGGTGACTTCAGCTGTAGTCCGTTCATTGCTATTCACCCGCTGTCCCATTCATGCCGTGATGAGGGGACCCCTGAATCCGGTCTCTTTCATCTGCACCTGTGGCCTTTCTCCCCCGGGCCCGGACTCTCTGGTTGCAGCCCCCCCCTCCCTGCTTGGAAGCCGCCTCAGTCTTGAGTTCTGGTTCTAAAGCCCGTCCGTTTGTGGGAGCAGACACCTCTCTCAATAGGGGCCTCCCTGAAATTTTTTGTTTGTTTAACCACTGAGGTTTTCGAGACATTCCTCGCAGATACAGGAGGGTCTAAGGGACAGTGATGATTCGCGACGTTTAACAACACTTATGGACATTGGTCATCCTACTCTCTACTGCAAAAAAGTGATAAATAAGTTAAAAATTGCTCAAATTTGGCGAAAAGTATATTCATTTGAACACATTTTGTTTTTAAACGGCTTCTATTGGAAAATTGTGTTTTAAGACTCAAATTAAGATAGAAAAGCACTTGATTCAAGCAATTATTACCTCATATTTAAACATTACTTGCAGTGAATGGACCAATGGCTGCTATGGGTTTGTTATTATTTGCAGAGTCCTCAGAGTGAGTAGTTTCATCACGCCATCCCGTATTGCTCAAGAAACCTGGAGTTGTTTGAGGCCAAAAAAAAAACAAAAAAAAAAAGCTTGTCTTGTGGCTCTTTGGGAATGACCCTCGTGTTTGATGTTAACGCAACCAGGTCGAGTCGAGCCGAGGAGAGCAGAGTGGGGCCAATCAGAGCTGAACGGTGGCATCGGTGACAACGCCTTGGCTTTAAAGCATTGTGTAATGACTGTCACTGCAGCTGATAATGTCACTGTTGCACTCCAGAGATTTGAGGACCAGCTCCAGCGCCTCTTTGCTCAAATTGAGGCTGTGACGCTGCCTCACCGCCGACAGGATGTGGAGAATGTGACAGCCTTTCTCTGCGTCTACAGAACATGAAAAAAAACCCCATCAGGATTGCATTAAAGAAAGCGCACCCCCTTTCCCATCGCCATTATGAGAATAATAGAAAGGAAATTAGCATAATGAATTACGTAGATGAAATTGTGTTGCTAATTAGTTCTTTGACAATATAATTACGGACATCAGAAAACCGTGTCAATCTCAAGTTCAAAAACACCAGAGCATGCTGGATTTGATTCGAACTTGCATTTTTCTCTTTTAGAGACTTCGCAGGAAGTGGCACGTCTTTCACCCCGCAATGCACGAAGTTCAATGTCACCCGCGCCGATCCTACCTAAGTAATGAACAACTCATAGATCCCGAGGCCCGAAACAAACCGCAGAACGAATGAGAACCGGAGCTTTGCGTATCAACTATTCTATTTACAAAACATATCCTCCCAAACGCCTGTAGACCGTCTCAATTACCCTGGGAATTTGCACATTCCGATATAATACGCCTCATCTAGTAACAGATGTGTAAGGCGCATTCCTATCAGCCGTATGTCCAGGAAGCTCCGATTGGCAACCAGAATGGACCCCCCCCCCCCCCCCCCCAAAAATACACACCATACTGTATCCCAGGTGAGTGGCCATATATAACGTCAAACATGAAAGTACGCTCGACCACCCTAGGTAGCCCCACCACCCCCACTATCACCCACTAAAACCAAACAATATAACCCATTGGACAGATAAACCCCATCCCCAACACCGTCAAATGCAAACATAACAGGGCCAAAAGCCACCAATGACCAATGGCACCACATTTAATTCACAACATGCCAAACCAAATAAACTACTCTCTCTACAAACATTAGCCATAAATTAATGTCCAAAACAACTCCTTAACCCTCCCCCCCCCCCCCACCACCTCCCCCCCCCCCTACTTCACATCCCCCCCCCCCCCCCCCCCCCAACCCCCCCCCCCCCCACCCCCCCCCCCCCCCCCCCACACCCCCCCCCCCCCCCCCCCCCCACCCCCCCCCCCCCCCCCCCCCCCCCCCCCCCCCCCCCCCCCCCCCCCACCCCCCCCCCCCCCCCCCCCCCCCCCCCCCCCCCCCCCCCCCCCCCCCCCCCCCCCCCCCCCCCCCCCCCCCCCCCCCCCCCCCCCCCCCCCCCACCCCCCCCCCCCCCCCCCACCCCCCCCCCCCCCCCCCCCCCCCCCCCCCCCCCCCCCCCCCCCCCCCCCCCCCCCCCCCCCCCCCCCCCCCCCCCCCCCCCCCCCCCCCCCCCCCCCCCCCCCCCCCCCCCCCCCCCCCCCCCCCCCCCCCCCCCCCCCCCCCCCCCCCCCCCCCCCCCCCCCCCCCCCCCCCCCCCACCCCCCCCCCCCCCCCCCCCCCCCCCCCCCCCCCCCCCCCCCCCCCCCCCCCCCCCCCCCCCCCCCCCCCCCCCCCCCCCCCCCCCCCCCCCCCCCCCCCCCCCCCCCCCCCCCCCCCCCCCCCCCCCCCCCCCCCCCCCCCCCCCCCCCCCCCCCCCCCCCCCCCCCCCCCCCCCCCCCCCCCCCCCCCCCCCCCCCCCCCCCCCCCCCCCCCCCCCCCCCCCCCCCCCCCCCCCCCCCCCCCCCCCCCCCCCCCCCCCCCCCCCCCCCCCCCCCCCCCCCCCCCCCCCCCCCCCCCCCCCCCCCCCCCCCCCCCCCCCCCCCCCCCCCCCCCCCCCCCCCCCCCCCCCCCCCCCCCCCCCCCCCCCCCCCCCCCCCCCCCCCCCCCCCCCCCCCCCCCCCCCCCCCCCCCCACCCCCCCCCCCCCCCCCCCCCCCCCCCCCCCCCCCCCCCCCCCCCCCCCCCCCCCCCCCCCCCCCCCCCCCCCCCCCCCCCCCCCCCCCCCCCCCCCCCCCCCCCCCCCCCCCCCCCCCCCCCCCCCCCCCCCCCCCCCCCCCCCCCCCCCCCCCCCCCCCCCCCCCCCCCCCCCCCCCCCCCCCCCCCCCCCCCCCCCGTAGAGAGGGAGAGGAACTTTGTTTTAAAATGACGTAAATTCATAGTGGTTAACCATGGAAACGGTGAGAGCCTTCCATTCAGTCGCAAAAAACACATATAAAAATATACCGCAATGCAGAGGTTTTGAACCGGGCCACCGCGGAAAAGGTGAGATTATAGAGCCTTTGAAAGTGAAAAGGAAAAGTATAACACGGCTCAGTGCTTTTGTACCAGTGCTAAAAGTTTTATTCATAAATTTGTATACAAAATAAAACACTGAAATGATAAATGAGAATCGAAACGGAACCTCATTTGAAACTATATCTGATTATTTGTGTTTTTTATGTTAAGATGTAGTTTAGGAGAGAATTACTATTTTCACTTTTTAGACCAGAGAGAGACCAGAGAACCAAGAGAGACCAAGAGAGAGACAGAAGAGACCAAGAGAGACCAGAGAGAGACCAGAGAGAGGCCAGAGAGAGGCCAGAGAGAGGCCAGAGAGAGAGGCAGAGGAGAGACCAGAGAGAGACCCGAGAGAACACAGAGAGTGAGACCAAGAGAGAACCAGAGAGAACCAAGAGAGACCAGAGAGAGGCCAGAGAGAGAGGCCAGAGAGAGACCAGAGAGAGACCAGAGAGAGACCAGGGGGGGGGAGGGGGAGACCAAGAGAGAGGCCAGAGAGACCCCGAGAGAGGACCAGAGAGAGGCCAGAGAGAGAGACCAGAGAGACACCAGAGAGACATCAGAGAGAGAGCCAGAGAGACCAGAGAGAGACCAGAGAGAACCAGAGAGACCAGAGAGAGAGACCAAGAGACACCAGAGAGACACCAGAGGAGAGACAGAGAGAGAGACCAGGGAGAGAGACCAGAGGAGACCAGAGAGAGACCATAGAAGACCAGAGAGAGATACAGAGAGAGAGACCAGAGAAGACCAGAGAAGAGACAGAGAGAGACTCAAGAGAACCAGAGAGAGACCAGAAGAGACCCAGATAGGAGACCAGAGAGAAGACCAGATAGAGACACTGTGTCTGTTTTGATTTTCTGATCCGGTGTCAGACGATCGACAACTTGGTAAAGTCCTTGCACGAGGCCTAAAAACATAAATAGAATTGTTGTGAAAAATTAAAAACAGTTTATACATTATTATTAGAAACTTAAAGCTGCTGAACCTAAAGTTTTGTTTCGAGACTGAAAATTGATTGTTGTCGCGATAGAAAAAGTGAGAGAAATGTGTTTATTGTGGATAAATCCGACGTCATCTCCCCAGGTCTTTTGTGCTGACGTGATCCAACATCCCTGTGAGTCACTAATTTTGACCCTTTGGGCTCAGACAGAAAATAAGGATTAGATTTTTTACATGACTTTGGAAAATAGAGACCACAGCTTTAATCTCGCACCAATGTTAATGCTATAAGAACCACTGGAAATCTCTGAGGAGCACAGGGATTTGGCCTCCGCAGTGACTCTGAGGACACAGGGACTGGCCTCCAGGCTGGGACTCTGAGAGCACAGGGACTGGCCTCCTGCTGACTCTGAGGAGCTACAGGGACCTGGCCTCCCTGCGAAGACTGAGGAGCACAGGGACTGGCCTCCTGCTGGGACTGGGAGCACAGGGACTGGCCTCCTGCTAATACTCGGAGGACACAGGACTGGCCCCTGCTAAGACTCAGAGGAGCACAGGGACTGGGCTTCCTGCTGGACTCTGATGAGCCAGGGACTGGCCTCCTGCGAAGACTGAGAGCACAGGGACTGGCCGCCTGCCTGGACTCTGATGACACAGGGACTGCCTCCTGCTGGGGACAGAGGAGCACAGGGACTGGTCTCCGGCTGGGACTCTAGGAGCACAGGGACTGGTTCTCCTGCTGGACTCTGAGGAGCACCAGGGACTGGCCTCCTGCAAGACCTGAGGAGCACAGGGATGGCCTCCTGCTGTGGACGCTGAGGAGCACAGGGACTGGCCTCCTGCTGGGACTGAGGAGACAGGGACTGGCCTCCAGCTGGGACTCGAGGAGGCACAGGGACTGCCCCTCCTGCTGGGTCTGAGACACAGGACTGGTCTCCTGCTGGGACTGAGGAGCACAGGGACTGGTCTCCTTGCTGGGAGCTCTGAGGAGGCACAGGGACGCCACCTGCTGGGACTAGAGGAGCACAGGGACTGGCCTCCTGCTGGACTCTGAGGAGCACAGTGACTGGCCTCCTGCCTGGGCACTCCTGAGGAGCACAGGACTGGCCTCCGGCTGGGACTCTGAGGAGCACAGGGACTGGCCTCCTGGCTTGTTCCCAAGTCAGGACTAAACATGGGAGGCAGTGTTTCAGATTTATGCAGTTAAAAAAAGTCTCCCAGAAAACGTGAGACGGGCAATATTCAATAATCCAGTTAAAAAACAGATTTTTATCCTGCCTTTCTGATTTAAAGCCTTGTCTAGTGAGTTGCCGAGTGTGGACTGTGCTATACCAATAACCTTGCCTAAATGCAAAGGGTTTATGAACATATGAAATCAGTGACTTTTCCGCGTGGCTCGCACCAGCATTTTGTGTTACAATTTGAGTAAACTTCTGACCATCAAAACGACAGGAATAAAATAACATATGAACATGTAAGATACGGATACAGTGTAAAAAATAAAAGAATACAGAATACATACTTGAACTGAACCATTAACCGAACCATAGAACAGAACCATGAACAAACAATGAACCCGCTCAGAGCAGAGGAGTCAATCTGTGTCCGTCCTAAAAACAACAAGTTCCACAACCTGGTCTCTCCCCTGTCTCTCCCCTGATCTCTCCCCTGGTCTCCAGTCCCCTGGCTCATCGCACCTGGTCTCTCCCAACCTGGTCCCTCAAAATGAAATGAAATGAAAAAAATAATGCATGTTCCTGCTGCTCTGTTTTTTCTCTCATCTCTTCAACTCTGTTGTGTTTTGCCACTGAACCGAGGGAGTCTGTGGGCTCTAGCTACATATGGAAAAACTCATGCATGAAAGACATGGATTATCAATTATTGCACATCTTACCCTACTAATATTCCACTTTATTATTTCGTGCTGCCCAAGATGAGATTATTCAACAGTACGTTTTGGTTGAACTTTTTATGTTGTTGTCAACATTTATTATCTCCACTGGAGGTTCTTCCTTACATGGAGGAGTTCAAGTATCTTGTGGTCTTGTTCACGAGTGAGGGAGCAACGTCTGCAGTCAGAGTTGTATAGGACTGTTGTGGTGACACCCTCACCTATGGTCATGAGCTTTGACACAAGTGATCTGCATGAGATAGAGGAGCTCGGAGTAGAGCCGCTGCTTCTCCATGTTGACAGGAACCAGTTGAGGTGGCTCTGGCATCTGTTCCGGGTGCCTCCTGAACGCCTCACTGGGGAGATGTTCCAGGCATGTCCCCCTGGAAGGAGACCCCGGGGAAGACCCAGGACATTCTGTAGGGACTATGTCTCCCAGCTAGCCTGGGAACTAGGGCTGCGCGATAGATCAAAAAATATTGTTATCGCAATAGTTTTCATATCCATTTGAAAAAGATGCGCGATTATTTTATTTTATTTTTTCCTTTATTAAAGACAACAAAACAGACAGACACGAACAAGAACAAACGAACAAAAAAGTCAAATCAATGCATTTGAATGTCCTTAATGTTGTGCTTATTTATTTTCTTTTATTTGTCTCATGCATTTCGATGCAGATTGCAATTTTTTTGGATTTGGATGGGGAAGTCTAGGCATCTCTGCTTTTGAAGCAGAGGAAAATGGATGAATGGTTACTAAATTTGGTTTCGATTTATTTGAAAGCAGGGAGGTCCGAGGCACTTACATCTTGAAATAAAAGTTATTTTATTGAAACTTGCACATTAGAGGCCTTGATCACATCCCACATATACACCAGAATTTACAAAATATTTCAATTCCCAAGTGTCGGGGTAGGGTAAAATAGTATGTTCAGACCACTACTGTCCTGAAAAAACACATTTGGCACATTTCTCTATGCAAAAATGTATTTTAGGTAAACATTTAACATGCATTTGTAATATTGTGTCATATCTCAGGCTCAGAATAAGCAGACCGGCATCCTGGCTGCTGCCAAAGTCATCGACACCAAAAGCGAGGAGGAGCTGGAGGACTACATGGTGGAGATCGACATCCTGGCCTCCTGCGACCACGAAAACATTGTCAAACTGCTGGACGCTTTCTACTACGAGAGCAAACTCTGGGTGAGTCCTGAAGTGATAGAAGCCAAACAGACCTTTCTTTGTTTGCGATAAGACCGACTGGTTCAAGAATAAAGCAGCACATACACACAAAGGAGACATTTTTGTGGTGGAAGAAAGGGCTGAGAAACACTTAAATATGTCAGTTTCTTGCAGTTATGAGATGTGTATAAGTTGTGAAGTCCCCGGGAAATATGTTCACACGAGATGTTCTTTGTTAGTTCTCTGTTCAACAATGGCCTGCTTGTTTCGGGAGATTTACTGCAGTGCAATGTCACTTTGCCAATGATTAAAGCCGTTTCCAATAGAGTTTGTGTATATGTATAGGATATGAATGTAGTTTATTGACAAGTAAGGAGTTGGAGAGGTGTAGGCCTTTTCTTAGTACATTTTTCACCTAAAGTTCAAGAAAACGTACAATATTTGCTTCTTGATTTGCTACAGACTGTGTACTGTTAAATGGATTTACAAAAATGTGGCCATACTTCCCGTCCGACCTCTGAAGCTATGCAGGGCAATGCCTGGTTAGTACTGTGATGGGAGACCTGTGGGAACACCAGGTGCCACAGTGTACATTTGAATTGAAATGTACACTGAAATGTTTGAAGGGGAATTGATCCAGCCACAGAAGCAGTCTCAGTCCAAATTTCTTATCCTTTTGCATGGAGAAAAAACATTTGATTTTGAAAAATCTATGAAGTAATACAGTAATTATCAAAGTAATTTATGAATTGACTAAATATTGATCACCGCTCCGTTCAAACAGTAGTGAAAAAGGCTTTGGATTTAACTTAATTTATTGTTTTTTTTAGTGGATCTTTGTGTGTGTTTTGAAAATGACCATTCAATTTTATGGTGGGGGGGAAGTGGTCTGCCAAAGATGGGGGAAAAAATCTAGTTTTATGAGATCTTTGTTTGAGAAATCCAATAGATTTCCTCGGGGACAAGCAGGTGTCAGTGCAATTTCCCAAAGCCCTGTCATAAACGCAGAAGCCACTTTCACTGGCCTGTCGTCATGATCTGGGTGGTTCAATCCAGCGCATTCCTCACTCTACTCAGTCTTTTTCCTCTCCATTGTGCAGTGGACAAAAGCCAGCGCCCAATGGAGGTGTTCTGTAGACGTAATCTCAGCCTCTGCGGCACCTGCTTGTGTGAGAGAGACGTTCAGCATTGTTCTAGATTAAATAAAGAGGTTATTCATGATTCAAAGGACGTTCAAGAATCACAGTTTTATACTTCGGCTTGGACATAACAAAACGTTTGCAGAAAGTACTAAACTACATTGGTATGCAACGTCACTAATAATCCTGAACAACTTTATTTTGCATTTTTTGGTCTCAGTGATAATTCTTCTTTTTGTTGACGCAACTATTCACTTATTATGCAATATTCAAATCTGTGATACAGTCTCCAACTCAAGTTTGAAATCAAGGAAAAGACAGTTGATTAATTCCATACAATATTAGTTATGACTCTGGTTTGTGAAATTGCTCAAATAATTACTCTTAATCTCTCAGTGCGATTGAAGCTTTCTATTCATGACCCTTCTAAGAAAAATCAAATTGTCCCATCACAGTGATTAAAAAATACACAGAATAAGTTTTCTCCTAGCTGAATTTTCATGATTTTCCCATACTTGACCAGTCCTGGGTCATTTAGACACTTTTAGACCCTAATTTGGGGTGGGTTTTTTTCTACTTCTAATCATTTGTTTTTTTGTTTTTATTTAGATCCCCATTAGCTACTGAAATGTACAGTAGCTAATAGTAGTACAGTATTCTTCCTGGAATCTATATTCTCATCCATGTCACAAGATTGATTGTACAACGGACAAAAAAGTATGTTCAAACAAAAAATATTCTTAAACAAAAGTACAGAAACGTTATAACAAAAAACACACACACAGCAGCTGCAAAAATAATCTCAATTTAGATTTCTACAGCTATCCAAATAATGTAAATACAACTCAAAGATACAAACAAATCCATTCCATTCTTTAGTGAAAAGGAAAACGGGTCATTGCGGGTCATTTTGGATATGTTAATGGGACGCGCCCCTTTCACTAACGACCAGTTCATCTTCTTGGTTCTGTAATAAATGTAGTGAAATGACTTTGATCCTCTGAAGCCGCATGAATGAAGCGTGAGCCGTGCATTTGTTCAGCTGTTTGTGTGTCGCATTCTAACAGTCTGTAGGAGGAAGCCCCAGCCCCGAGCCGCAGTTCCTCTGGTCCTGCAGCCTCAGACCTCTGAACGCCCCATTGTGCTGCGCTAAAACAACAGCACACCCACAGTCCCACAACAAATGCACTGGAGAAACACTGGAGAAACAAAGAGGCCGATGTAGACAACAGCACAGTGGGGGAATGAGGCGATTCACAAAAGCTTTGTTGTCGTGGAACAGCAGTGAAGCAGAGGGTCTGGCGTCTTTAGGATCAGAATCCACTGGAAGCCTCTGTCAGAGTTGTGTTTTTATTTCTTTTTTCCGGTTCATACAGGATTCAGTCGTTTGACATAAATACATAGATATACATTTTCTTCTTCACCCCTATAGAGAAAGGGAGCGGGAGGAAGTAAGAATCAGAATATTTGTTTTATTGCCATTGCAAGTAACAGGAAGTCACAAACTAGGAATTTACTTTGGTTCAAGTTGCAAACAAGATCTAAAAGTGAAAATAGATTTTAGGCATGCATACAAAATCTTCATAAAATATCTCAAAATGACTCCTTTTAACAAGTAGTTTAGTTTAGTGCCATAAGATTCACCCATAGACAAGAGCTTTGGCAGCTGCAGGTTCAAACAAAGCATAGTCTATTGACCATAATTGATTAGATTATGTTTAAATAAAGAGTTTCTGCTTAAATACAAATGGATGAGGGGTTGTACTTTCGACATCTTCACACACATTTTAGACAAAACCTAATTCAGAGTAAAAGAGGATGTTCACTACAGTTAGTCATGTCCAGTGGCTTCACATGGAAAATGCCTGTTGTAAAAATGTTTTTAAAAAAATAAAAAAAACACACACCACAATTAAATGTGTGTGCTTTGTCAGTGCACTCCGTAACTACATAACAGTACCACATGGTTTGATTAATTAATTAATTTGCCAGGGACATTGCACAATAAATGCATTGTGCAAACCGGACGCATCTACAAGCTCATTTTCATAGTCCCTGGGAAGAGGCAAAGTGAACGCAAAGTTGACTGTGTGCAAAGAATCAAGAATCAATACATAAAATGGCCTTATTAGCATTTAGAATACAAGGGGGGAAAAAACAATAGGCAAGGCAAGGCAAGGCAAGGCAAGTTTATTTGTATAGCACAATTCATACACAAGGCAACTCAAAGTGCTGAACAAGATAGCATTAAAATCATAAATAATCACAGAACATTAAAAAGAAAGATAAAAATATAAAATCCCTCAGTTGTATGCACAGCTAAACAGCACCGTTTTTAACTTGGTTTTAAACATAGTCAGAGAGGAGGCCTGTCTCACATCTTCAGGAAGAATGTCCCAGATTTTAGCAGCATGAATCTGAAAAGCAGCCTCCCCATGTTTAGTTCTGACTCTGGGCACTAACAGGAGTCCAGTCCCTGTGCTCCTCAGAGTCCGGGCTGGTTCATATGGGACTAACATGTCACTAATATATTTTGGTGCGAGGCCATGGAGAGATTTGTACACAAGCAAAGCTGTTTTAAAGTCTATTCTCTGAGCCACAGGAAGCCAGTGCAGAGACCTGAGGACCGGACTAATGTGGTCGTACTTCCTGGTTCTAGTCAGGACTCGAGCTGCTGCATTTTGAATGTACTGCAGCTGTTTTACAGCCTGTTTGGACAGACCTGTGAGCAGGCCATTGCAGTAGTCTAACCTACTGGAGACAAATGCATGGATAAGAATCTCCAAGTCTGCTTTAGACACTATGTTTTGATACACTTAACCACAAAGAGACACATGTTTTAAAGTCAAATATTATTGATTAACGGAGCCATCAAGGCTCCGTTAATCAATTGTAATTGTAATTGTAATAGTAATTGTAATTAACTCATTATAATTTGAGGGTTGCCTTTTTAGGATTTTTAATCGTGTGAAGCCTTTGTACACAGACTGTGCTCAAGGCATAAAACATTTTGATTGACTATATTTGAACCTTGTAACATCTTTGCACACTTCCTGTCTTTTTTCACACCCCGAGTGATCCTATCTATGCCAAATGTGACGTATGCGTTATTCCATTGTGAGATAAAGTTGAAGTTTGAGTCTACCTCCATCATACTTAGTGCAGTATAAACATGATTCAGATTATCATTATTCGCTTTGATGAATAGTTTCAGCACTATTGACAAATCGGTGTTTAACAAAGAGAGAGAGTCAAAAAGTGTTCTTTGTTTATCTGAAAATAGATTAAGTAGTGAATGGTATAATTCCCTTCAAATCAAGAGAGAATAATTGACACTATTCTCAGTCACAATCTATTTGAAGCTCTCCTCGGGGCAGCTGTGGCTTCGGAAGTACCTCCCCCTAAAAGGGAGGAGTCAATATCAATGTTGAACCAACTCTTTATCGTGCCGTATTTAAGTAACAATGCATTTCCCAATGGCTTTATAAATGAAGAAGTTGTTGTACTTCCTCTTGTGGAGAAATGTTGAACAAAAATCTCTACACACACACAGCTTTAGTTTTTTGTCTGGGACTCTGAGATTAGTCAAAGAATTCCAGTTGAGTTTGATTCATCCAATTCAATTCAATGTATTATTGTATTGCCCTAAATCACAACAGTAGATTTCTCAGAGGACTTTACAAACCGTTGAAGTTCACTTATACAGTATAGCACATTTCATTAACACACTGTGTCCAAAGTGCTGCATACTAAAAGACTGAAACATAATTTAAAAATCTATAGTAAGACCGTAAAATGAGTAAAAGTCAAATGGGATAAAACCAAATATATGCAAAAACATAACAATAGAATAAGATAAAATAGGACCATACAACCATAGTATTTTATTGTGTTGTCTGTTATTTCTTGTGTGTTATATGGACTCTTTGTGCGTCTGAATTAAAAAATGTAGTCTTGGAAAACCATCAGTATTGACTAAATGTATATTTCTTTTCAAATAAAGATGGAAAGACAAATAGATTTTATTGATCCCTGCAGGTCAGAGGGGTCCAACTCATTTTAGCCAGCGGCAGAAAGAACAGAAGATAAATTGTTTTTTTTCTACATCATGACAGTATTTTGACATGACTTTTATGTGACATGAGGTTCTGGTTGATTTTTTTCTGAAAACAAAATGTATTTATTGTTTAAACTGGACCAAATATAACGTTAAACACATTGTTTTATATTCAACTATTTCACTTCTGATGATCTGTTGGGTAACAATTTTAGAATTAATTAAATGTGGTTGTTTTGCGGAGAAAATAGATTATGTGTAACATGCCTTGGTAGCCTATTATCAATTTAGCAACTTAATAATAATAATAATAATAGAAAATAATTTTAGAGGCTCCTTAAAATTGTGGCCTTGCTGCTTTGCCGTACTGTCTGGGATAAATAGAGTAGTCTCTTCCAGATGCTTCACCTTATCTGCTACCGCGGCCAAAGCCAAGGTGCTGTGTCCATAGAAACTCTAATCCTATTAGCGGCACAAGGCTCTGGCCGAGTGGTGAAACACGTCCACACCGCGGCCTCCACTGGGACAATCCTCTTATGTCAGCGCCAAACTGCAGCTCCCAAACGCCTCTAAGAACTCATTCACAAGCACGGGGCGCCAGGTTCATTCAATCACATTTAGTTCACCTGACAAACACTTGCACCACTGCTTAATCTGGCAACTCCTGCAAGGGAAAGTGTGGCAGCGTTTATGGACTGCAATAGACATGGAGGAAGTTATTAACAAACTAAACGTGACAATATTGTGTGGATTTGATGTTAAGCAAATTCTGACTACAACTACATAACAACATAATTGGGTTCAATGTTGTTTTGTTGGCAGATACTGAAAATCATCAAAAAGTAAAATTTCAACACCATGAGACTAATATAGGCTTGCTTTATTCATTCTTTAAAATGAGGAAATATGATTACTAATATATATTGGACAAAAATTGTACAACTATAGAGAGACCAGAACAATTGGAAAGTGCTTTGTAACTCCATCCATCCATCCATCCATTTTCTTCCCCTTAATCCATTTCTGGGTCGGGGGGCTGGCAGTCAGAGCTGCACCCAGTACACAGAGCACCAGCCCCTCACTGATCCTCCAGCAGGTGGTGAGTCCACAGGAGCTGAGATCTTTCAGTTGGGGCTTTGGGCAAAGTAGAGTTAAGTGTCTTGCCCAAGGACACAACGACAGCAGTCATCAGTGGGAGTCGTGAAGTAGGTCTTATGGTGGGCTCGAACCCACGACCTTCAGGCCCAAAGGCCAATTTGTCAAAGGCTTTGTAACTCTGGTCTGTGAATCTCTTGTTGATAAATCGACAACTTTGTAAACTCCTTCTGTCACCTCTGCTGTTGTGATTTAGGGCTATACAAACATACATTTAAATTGAATAAACGATAAATCTTGAAATGAAATAAATGCATGAGCAAAAGCTAACATGTTTGCTAATGAGATGAAGACAGCATGTTGTCGTCTGATATGTTCACAATATTTCACTTTTGGGTTAAACAGAAGATGTCATTCATGAGGAGGTAAGTTAGGCAGCCCAGCTTTAAAGCCCTTTCCCACAATGACGAGATTTCCTTCTTATTAGAGCAAAAATGACAGCGCAACATTGTCGAATCCTCTGCTTATAACACAAATCACAAAATGCAGCGGCCTCTTTTCAGGGGGATACACAGTGCAGTACCCAAACCTGTGTGAATCCGTCTAACAACAACGTCTTAACGGTTTGCAAATGACGAGGGAAACAAGTCGCACAAAAACAACTAGAATTTGGTCAAAAGCTGTTAAGTCTGTTCAGAAATAACATTGTAAAGATGACAGCACACAGGTTTTGGCAATAACTGAGTTGGATCTCACTTTTACACACAGATATAACTTTTTCAGCTACTTCTTTGAATACTTATTGCACAAGAGTGGTATTTTTCTGAGTGCACTTGATGATGTAACTAGATGCCTAAATCATTTTAAACATCTATTCAATTTGTTGAGCTTGCTTTAGCTGTTAGCCTGAGCCTTCATGTCAATATTTTGGCACTTCAGTCTTCTACAGTCCGCTAAAAAAAAATTTGTCTTCATTTCAACCATTGACTTACTAAAACAACACTAACATTTCAGATTTGTTTTCGATTTTAAGGACTTCATTGGGTATATTCTATTCTTCTATTCTATATCAAATTATTCTGTCATAATTGAATAATGTAATAGCAGTGATATTGCTGTGAAACTGTTAGATCCATTAAACGTTTTCCTTGAACACACACACAGACACTCACACACACACCCGCATGCACACCATACATACACACACGTTTTGTACATTAGAACTTAGGTCACATGTTTCCAAAGATCAAATACATTTTACAAATAAAGAAAAAAAAGAACTAAAATATGTATACTAAGAATTCTAGTGCTAAAAGTTGCACACACACACATTAGGCAAGGCAAGGCAAGTTTATTTGTATAGCACTATTCATACACAAGGCAACTCAAAGTGCTGAACAAAATAAGAAAGCATTAAAATCATAAATAATCACAGAACATTAAAAAGAAAGATAAAAATATAAAATCCCTCAGTTGTACGCACAGCTAAACAGAACTGTCTTTAACCTGGTTTTAAACATTGTCATTGAGGAGGCCTGTCTCACATCTTCAGGAAGACTGTTCCAGATTTTAGCAGCATGAATCTGAAAAGCAGCCTCCCCATGTTTAGTTCTGACTCTGGGCACTAACAGGAGTCCAGTCCCTGTGCTCCTCAGAGTCCGGGCTGGTTATACATTATAGTTACACACACTACACACAACACACACAATACTCGCACAATAGATATTCTCCGATTACTAAAGTCCAGTGAGAGATTCAATGTGATGATTTGTAATGTTGATGCAGGATGGATAAATGAGTGGTGTAGACGGGAGAAGCTTCCAGTCCCTCACAATAGAGGCCACATAGATGCAGCCTGACTGACACGAAAACAATAATGAAATGGATTTATATAACGTTTTTTAATGTAACCTTTGTGTCTCTTTTCTCCGACAGATCCTCATTGAGTTTTGCGCAGGAGGGGCTGTGGACGCTGTCATGCTGGGTGAGTCATCATTTTGGTTTTTGAAAAGCAGCTCTTAACAGACTCAAAGAACTAATTTGTAAGGATCAGATTCAGGATTCACGTCCACCGTTATGCCAAAACCATGTGTGAAATTTAAGGAAAGCAACCCAGATCATTCAATTGTATTATTTTTTATACCCTAAATCACAACAGCAGTCATCTCTGAGGACTTTGATCTGCTGTTGGTGAAGCGAATACTTGGTAGAGAATCAAACCGTATTTTTTTAACACAGGAAATGCAATGATAACTAACACATAGAAGCCATTGGTCCATAGGGGGAGGGATGACCAACGTCCATAAAGGCCCAGATCATGTCTTTAGAAACTCCTGCATTGTCAAGGAATGACTAAAAAAAAGAAAAACTTCAGGGGGCCCACATTGATGATAACTCAAGCTGTGGCATCTCAATTATTATCTCTATAAGCAGTATAATTGTATATATTTTACATGGTTTGGTTGTGATTGTTGCGAACCCTTGTTTTACTGCAGAGCTGGAGCGACCTCTGACGGAGCCCCAGATCCGTGTGGTTTGCCGACAGACGCTGCAGGCGCTGGTTTACCTCCATGAAAACAAGATAATTCACCGAGACCTAAAGGCCGGGAACATCCTCATCACCTTGGACGGACAGGTCAAACTGGGTACGCAGCACAACAACAAAACTACGGCAGTAAAACATCCAATGCAGTTTTATCCACAACAAGGGCGTACTTACTCCTTACCTTTTCAAACCACAGCCATTTGAACTATGTAATAAAATCCATGTAACTAGTTCCTGACATTTAAACATCTTGGTTCTATCACCTGCGTGTATTTGTGTTTTGGCCTGTGTCACATTTTTAGATCAGCTATTTCAGACAGAAAAATGAGTAAAAAAAAAATAGTGACTCACAGTATGCAGAAGCTAACATGTTTTCTAATGAGGTGAAGACAGCATGTTGTGGTCTGACTTGTTACTTCTGGGACAAACAGCAGATGTCATCTATAGGGAGGAAAGTTAGGTACCGCGGCTTTAAAGCCCTTTCCCACAATGAAGAGAAAGGAAAAGACACATCTACCTTCTTCACTTAATTGTTTTACTTTTTTGCTCAAGCGAATTGTCCTCAAATCCTCTGGAAGAGAATGCGGAGGCCCCACATTCACTGTCAATGTGTTCCTTGAGCTGTATGACGAGAAGCAAAACAAGACAAGACAAAATAATCCAGTGAACCACTAGCTTTAGCTACTAACTAGGCTAACTCTCTAACGTTGAAATACTCCCTAAAAGGTAACTAAAATAAAAATATCCCAAGCTGCAGTTGCTGCCTTACACAGTTATAGCAATATCTAATAATTGATTCATATTTTCTATTATACTCATGTTATATTTTTGGGAGATTTTCAACCTCTAGGCTGCTTTCTTTATTCTTTTATCCACTGCTTAGTTCTACTTTCCTCTTGTGGTCTGTGATATAACTCCTGGAAAGACTGCTTCACATTCATACTGTTTATAGTCCCACAACCCCACAGGCCAAATAAACCCTGCACTTTTGAAGGAACACTCTTCAGTCTGAGCTTTGTCGATTTTTGTATGTATCTGTTTGGGCTGCAGCTATCAATTATAACTTTTGTTTTTTAATATATTTTATAGTTTTATACTTTACAAAGGTACACATGGAAAAACTTACAAATAGACTAAAAAAATAGAAAAAGCCGTCCTCAATCACAGCAGATACTATATATATATATATATAGTATCTGCTGTGATATATAGTATCTGCTGTGATTGAGGACGGACAGAATTGGATCAATACTTTTGGTGAACCATGTAATTTTTTATCTTTTTTACCTTCCATAAAAGCATCCTTAATAGCCTTTTCAGTAGATGTTATGAACAAAGTTGTTTTATAGATTGTGCGTAAAATGTTTGATCTATTTGTGCCAAAAAAACGAAGCCGAGGTAGAGAATGAATTTCAGAGCGATGGAACTTGGGGATTACACATACATGCATGGGTGTTGGGGAAACAATGATACCATGCTAAATTAGCTTTAAAAAGTAGACTTATTTCTTACATGATTCCTCCTTTAAAGCCATTACACATGGCTCTACCTTCCACATGATCTGTCCCATGATAAATGCATAAAACATTTGGTGAGTGACTGCCACAATCCACATCAGTGCGACATACTAGAATCGGCCTGAGGTGTGTGCGTGCGTTTGTGTGCGTGTGTGTATGTGTGTGTGTGCGTGTGTGTGTGTGTGTGTGTGTGTGCGTTTGTCACTCCTGCCTGGACTCTGCAGCTCATTGAAGCCACACAAACTGAGCCTTTAGTCCAATGACATAACTTGCAATGTGATCCGATGAGCTGTCTTTTATCAAAATGACTCGGCTTCACATTACATCCACCAATATTTATTTCTAAAGCACAAATACAAAAATGGCCTAGGCTTTTCCAAAGTTCAGTGTAGACAAGTGGAAAACAGCAACACATAACAATACATCACAACATTATAGGCTTGACATTATTAAATACAATAATAAACATGAAAGGGTGAAAAATACTTAGGAAAGTATTTCATATGTTGCCTTTTACTTGTGGAGCTGTCGTCCTAATCGCTTAAGATTTCCTGGGAGGAACATGATGATTTTCTGTGCCACACTGATCCTCGTCTCCGTCACATGTTTTCCAGCTGACTTCGGGGTCTCTGCCAAAAACACCAAAACACTGCAGAGAAGAGACTCCTTCATAGGAACGCCCTACTGGTGAGAGTCGATGCCTGCGATTATAGACATTGGAAACACGTTTATCTCTTCTCTTGATAATTAGAATGATATTTTTCAGTTTTTCATTAGTCAAATGGCAGTTCATAGCGCAAGTATAAAGATAGAAACGTAAAATATGTCTTAAAGCAACAATGAGCTCTAGAAAGTCTTATTTCTTGGTGTGTATTTTCTTTTCTTCTAAATCTCATGCCAAGATTGATAGTTTGATTTATTAAAAAAGATAAAGGGGCTCTTGTATGTTTTGCTGTTTTTTGGCAACTGGGGTTAATATAGTAGACATGGAAATCTCTTGACAGCTCAAACATCTAAACAATGTATAATTCTTGATAATGATCCTTGGTTTACTTTCTAGACAACCAGGAAGTCAAATGGTACATGCTTTACTGTGTAGTCTAACCCAGGGTGTGCTCTTTGACTGCATCTTGTGTTGACGTTTTTTCAGGATGGCTCCAGAGGTGGTGATGTGTGAGACTTCGAAGGACCGTCCGTACGACTACAAGGCAGACATCTGGTCCCTGGGGGTGACGCTGATCGAGCTGGCCCAGGTGGAGCCCCCTAACCACGAGATGAACCCCATGAGAGTTCTGCTGAAGATCGCCAAAGCTGATCCTCCCACGCTCATGCTGCCCTCGCGATGGTCAGTCTGCTCTCAAATAATTCAATATTTCAAGCACTGAAAAAATGTAGTGTCCACACAACAGTTAAAATGACGAAAAGGTATGTAAGATTCAAGATGTAGTCGATGTTAACTAGAATAAAGTATATTTCATTTTTGTAGAACTAATGTTTATTGTGCGTTGGCCCGGATCAAATAAATACATTCAAATTGAAAAATAAAATGAAAAAGTTACTCACAATGTATTAGGGGTGTGACGATATATCGATTTTTCAATATATCGCGATACTTTCTCCCGCGATTCGATTATTGATATGCATTTGCCAAGTATCGATATCGATTTTGAAAAAAAATTATATATATTTAAAAAAAATATATATATTTAAAAATTGTTTTTTTTTTTTTAAATTGGTATCAATACTTAATATATGGCTACATTACGCATCTCCATTCCATTTATCATGAAACAAAGTGTATTTTTTATTTTATTTATGCCATAAATTGGCATATTGTCTATTTCTGACCAATATATCAATAATCGTCATATCGTGATAAAATCGTTATCGTGATAATATCGTTATTGTGAGCTTTGTATCGTGTGTCGTATCGTATCGTGAGGTACCCTTAGGTTCCCAACCCTACAATGTATCATATTGTCTTAAATACTGGCAATCTAAATCTACTGAAGTGAAGTCATTTTGAATAATCTAGAAGTCTTCTGCCTGCACTAAAACATGAGCAAAAATGTGTTTTGACTTTTAAACAGTTGAACAATTTGTGTTTTTGTAATATAACCTTATGCATTCATAATTGATTGGGGTTTGACTAACCATAAATCATTAGATACCAATCATCAAAACATTAATACTAGGGCTGTCAAAATTATCGCGTTAACTCACGTTAATTACATTTTTCATTAACGCGTTTTTTTTTTTAAAAACGCATTAACGCATGTCCGAATGACCCGCCCATTTATCCATAAGAATATCACTCAGAATGCTGCGTGTGAGATGGCCTCCTCCGTGGCCGCTCTGGTTGTTGTTAGCGGCTGTGAGTGAGTGCAAGCTTTGCACGGGCTGCAAGCATGGATCTAGCTATTATCATAACAGCAGCAAGCGATTGCTCCGTTCACATACTCAGCGCTCTGCGCACTGTAATTTCCCTGGTTCTTGTCTGTCAGGCGCGCTCTGCGCACTGTATTCTCCCTGGTTCTTGACTGTCAGGCGCGAGTGTTGCTCGTGTGTGTCTTTGGGAACTAATTATTTTAAAATAGTCTCTTTCAATTGCAAGTTTTGTAATGTGTTTGTTTGATCAATGGATAAAAATAAATGCAATGTAATTTAAATGGCACCTTGGCCTGTCTTATACCTTTTTGCCTGCAGGACAGTTCCCTAAACTAACATATCATACTAAAATAAGGTGGGGTTGTTGCAACTACTTAGAAGTTATCCTAAATTACAGCCAGCTAAAGCTCGGTACCACGACAAAAAATATATATAACGCAATAGTTACTTTTACTGGTAACTAGTTACTTTTATAGTGGAGTAACTCAGTTAGTAAGTCAATTACTTTTTGGAAGAAGTAACTAGTAACTATAACTAATTACTTTTTCAAAGTAACTTACCCAACACTGGTCATTATATTTGATAATCTCATTTAACTTCAATTGGAGTGGATTTGAAATAGAATGTTAAACATGCGATTAATCGTGAGTTAACTCACCATTACTATGCGATTAATCAACTAAAAAAATTAATCGTTTGACAGCCCTAATTAATACATGTTCCCTTCATTGTTTATCAGAAAGCAAAACAATGTTCAAATCCAGGTTAAAACAGTTCTGTTTAGCTGTGAAGACAACTGAGGGATTGTATCTTCACTCTTTTGAAGGTACTGTTATTATTATTATTTTAGTGCCTTGTCTTGTTTAGAGCTTTGTGTTGCCTAGTGTCTGAACTGTGAACAAAAATGATGTGTTTTTAATGTTAAACTGTATACGTTGAATGTGTCTTTCAGGTCTCCAGAATTCAGTGACTTTCTGCGGCATTGTTTGGACAAGAATGTGGACAACAGGTGGACCGCTGCGCAACTTCTACAGGTTTGATCCTTCTGTCACAGCATTAGAGTCCCATTTAGATTATATATTGGAATTCATATAGATGCTGCAAAGTCACAAATACCCCTCAAAATGTTTTTTTATAGTTCTTTGAATGCGTTCAATTCAGACCTTTCTGTGTGGAGTTTGCATGATCTCCACGTGGTTTCCTCTGGAGGCTCCGGTTTTCCCTACCACTAAAAACATGTACAATAGTCCTTCATAAGTAGTCCCATATTCTCTGAGATTTCTGGATGTAAACCACCAATCAGTCATCCAATTAGTTACAGCCCTATTATTAAAGTCCTATTTAAATCATAATCCCCCATGATACATCTCACAATAGAGCTTACCTGAGGACATCTGTACAGTGTGTCTACAGCCAGGTGCTTATCCCCGTGTGCCACACAGACGTCAGAGCAGACGGCGCATTTTCCATTTGCCTCACACGCCAATCCACAAGCAGAGGTAGCAGCCGCACATAACGGAGCCTTTAACAGGACTTTTTTTTTCCGATACATTGGATAAAGCGTTTGGCAGAGCAACAGACAATGGGATTCAAAATTCACAATTACGGAGCACCACCTGTGAAAATTTTAATATCAAAGAAGATTTATATTCTGAGGCCAGCGATTCAGTATGTACAGCAGCTATCGCAACCAAAGGATAAAAAGGTATGTTGCATTGAGAGTATGGGGGTGTAGTCTACCATAGACCTTTCCTCGCAGTGCATTCAATGTATTGTTTTAAGCCCGCCCTGACATTCTAGCAGTCTGTCGAGTGGATAGTAGGCCTATTTGGGCTGCAATATTCATTAAATCCTATTCAAATGATTAAAATATACAAATTGTTGAGCCTGTAAAAATAGGTATTTAAAAGAAAAGTACACTGCCCCTTGACCCTTCTCTAAAACAGAAAATCTAATCTCAAACATTGTATTTATACAGCAACTTTCAAAAAGTACAAATAATATTGAATATGCAACATGGCTTTATTTTTGTTGCGAGAACCTTGATGACGCCCACACATAGAAAATAATAAACAAAAACAAAACAACAACAGACAAATAAAAATGTAATTAAAAACCCAACGGCCAGAATTATATAACAATATATACATTTTCTCTCAACTGTGTATTTTATGGAGTGATTTGTTATAGAATTAAAATGAGGCTCACTCCTTGTTCATATTTTGTTGTTGGTTAGCATTCCTTTGCGGCGAGCTTGGAGGACAGCAAACCGCTGAGAGAGCTGGTAGCTGAGGCAAAAGCCGAGGTCACCGAGGAGATTGAAGAGCACAAAGAGGAGGAAGAGGAGGAGGAGCCAGAGTCGCGGCCGGTGAGTGACATGACATAGTGAATGTATCTCTCAGTTAAACAAGGACTCATTCAGTTTTCACCGTCAAAAATGGCAATTTAGAATCTGCCTTAAAAGCCATTTTTCAGAGAATAACTTTGCGGTGGTAACTGGATTGAGCCAGTTTCAACAACAAGCCTTTTAAAATAGTAAATTGGAACTCCCCAAATGGCAGAGATAGATATTAACTAACTGCATAAGGCCCACCCCCTCAGCCTTGGTGCCAGGATTGACTGTGGGTAAGCCGGGTACTGCACCCTCTTAGCCTAGAAGGTTTTCCCATAGACGGACTATGTATTTTGATTGAGTTCAAACAGTTGCCTCAAAGTAATTCCGTGTTATTTTTTATTAAAACTTGATATTGCCTTAAGGTTTACTTTACTAAATGTACTCTGCTCACTGCTGGAGCGTTAACGGGAGCTGATCAAACGCTTCTAGATTCTGTGTGCGGCTGAGCGCTCTCATTCGAAACAATTGTTGCCATTTTGGACTCACATTTATAGTATTCTACGTACAATAAAACCTATCCCTTAACCATAAGTGGAGAAAATTTGTGTCTGAACACTTTTTCTCACTGTGCAGGGCCACAAACGTGCTCCGTCAGACGTTAGCGTTGCCAGTTCAGAGGACGAGAAGATCCCTCTTTCCCCCACCAGCTTAGAGTCCGTCCCTGAGAACATGGAGCCCCTTACTCCAGTCACCCCACTCACCCCTCTCACTCCCCTCACCCCCCTCACCCCCCTCACCCCTCTTACCCCTCTTACCCCTCTTGTCCCCCTGCCTGGTCCTGTTGCCCTACCAGTGGCCAACCATGTGGAAGAGCCTGCTATCCCGGAGCAGAAGGAGGTCATTACAGACACTTCGATACAACCCGTGTGTAAGAGAGAAGTAACTCCCACAGATGAAGTGCAAAAGACTGAACCAGAAGCTCCGGCTAAAGAAATGGAACGACTGGAGCTAGAGCAGGAGGAGAAGGAAGTGGACACCGGAGAGGTCACCACAGACGGTTCAATACAAACACAACAGGAGACCGAGACGCAAGCTGTGGAAGAAGCAACGTCACCGACAGAAGAGGACGAGGAGCGGTACAAACATCTGAATGTCGCGGTCACACTGCCGAACAAAGAGGACGGAGAGAAGGCGCCAGAGAAGGAGGCGGCGAAGGACAAGAAGGAGTCCACCGCAGACAACAGCAGCGTCGATCTCAACCTGTCCATCTCAAGCTTCCTGTCCAAAACGAAAGACCCGGTGTCAGTGTCGATACAGGTACAGTACACATACAGTACACATACTATTGTCATGTGACTGTTTTTAACCTTCAATCAGTTCTCGCATTTTAACACTCAACCGTTATTTTTCTTTGCACTAACAGAGGAAGTTTTTACCATTTTTACCATTTACCACACTTCATGGTCTGGTACTATCTCCTAACAATGTAGCCACAACAAACCACTGTTTCTGGATTAAGATTAAGAGATCATTTATTTTCCCCACAGTCGGGACATTTCAGACAGTCCTTGGTAACCATGGCTTCCAGCAGAGCTCTGTCAGTTACCACACTTTTAGGCCCTTGGTTTGAGCCAGGCCCAAGCAGGTACTAAAAAGTACCTGGTACTGGGTAGAGAAGAGCCAAGTAGGGCTGGTGAAAACGGGGTATAAATCTGCAGATCTAGTGTAATTTGGATATTTAGAAAAAACACAGCTGTACAATTTCAAGTGGTAAACACAAATCGCTTCCATCACTTTCCAGGAGACAAGACGCCAGAGGAAGACGCTGAAGAAAACTCGTAAATTTATGGTGGACGGCGTCGAAGTCAGCGTCACCACCTCAAAGATTGTGACAGACAACGACATGAAGAACGAGGAGATGAGGTTCCTGAGGTGAGTTTGCGGTTTTACACACATGACCTGGGCTGCTTATTGGCTCTATGCAAATCTATGGACTGTACTAACACTTAAAGCTTTCAAAAAAATCATTGTTGTGTTTGGCTGGCCTGTTTTGCATGTGTAGACGTCTCATTGTATTGAGAGAAATATCTATGAAACCTGTTAAGATTTCTATTGTTTGGCCCACAATTTTGCCATATTGCTTATTTCCCTTCTAAAACAACTACCCCCTTCTGATGTTTTTTGTTGGGTACAGTCTCATGCACCTATGGCCTTCCCCACAGAGAATATATTGCACTTGTTGCATATCCAGTTATACCAGAGATATCAGCTGTAGATCACAACATTTGCATTTTTACAGACACAAGGCAAATTTCTTTCCTCCTAAAAAATTCCCAGCTTCTCTTTGCCTCTTGGCTTATGCTTTTATCATTTCCAGAATTATTTGCATGTTTTGGTGTTTTACAGGCGTCAGGAGCTGAGGGAACTGCGTCTCCTGCAGAAGGAGGAGCAAAGAGCCCAACAGCAGCTCAGCAACAAACTCCAGCAACAAAAGGAGCAAATCTACAGACGATTTGAGCAAGAAACCTCAGTGAGTGACCTCCCCTCCTGTAGAGGCCAAGAGATGTTTACCTATTTATTGCCTCCTGGCTGCCAAACTTTAATGGTTTCCTCAAACCACAGTCCAAAAAATGTATTAGAGGTTCTTTATTTGCCCCTGTAATCCACAATTCCACTGTATTGTCATGGTTACCTCCAAACCTTGCAGCACCTGTTCCTTCTTCTTCTTCTTCTTCTTCTTCTGGGTTTTTTGGCGTTTGGGCAGCAATTCATTAAGAGTATTGCCACCACCTTTTGTTCTGGAGTGGGTCAGACAAAGGGCTCACAATCTAAAGCCCAAACCATAAAATATATAGCCTATGGCCCTAACAAGGGAAGGGGAAGAATAAATAAAAAGAAAAAATTAAACATATACTATATAATCTATCCTTCCTCATATTCCTGTTTCCTTTAAAAAAGTCAACAACATCCCTACATGCACCCTGCTGCCATTCTCCAGAATACAGCACTTGTGCCATCTAATTCTGCCCCTTTTATTAGAGAATGAGCAAAGGTTACATGTTCATAGTTCAGCTTGCATCCATGCGGGTAAGCTGTGTGTTGAGCAGTACAAAGATCCCTAAGTCCGTGGAAGCATTCTCATGACTGTATTGTACATATATGGGTACACTTGTTATATTTACAATACCTTTTATAGTACACTAGAATTTCAGTTATGCATCTATAACGAGCAAAAGAAAAGCTGACTGGAAAGGATCTCAAACTGCTGAAGAGCGATCCAGGTGAAACAAGTTTGAAAGTGTGATTTTGTCCTGCACTGGTGTGAAATGTATAAAAAATAAAGTGTTGGTAATGGAATTGGTGCCTTTTCAAAAGCCTCAGGAAAACTCTATCTATTGCATTACTGAAATGACGTCTAAATAAACTCGAAATAAAATAGAATAGAAATAAAATACTGTTCTTCTTTCTGAAAATCCCGAGTGCTCTGGTCCCAGTTTCAGCAAAAGAATACATGTAATAAATAGGATTTTTGAAATAAATAAGATCAACAGATCATTGGTTCACAAATAGCAAAGGATATCACTTTGCTTTGTTTAAAATGTTGGCAAAGTCAGCAAGCAAGTAAGTTTTTAAGTAATTTACACACACACAGCATTATGGCTGTCAATGTATCTTGCCCAAGGACACAGCAGTTTGGCACTTTACAATCTCAGTGATATGAAAATAAGATTATGATGTTTAATAGAATTCTATAACATCTGCTTTTTGTTTTTTTTAGAACCTACTGTATCACTTCATTGCACTGTTAGTAGCGTCATCGTGGCCTGGTTATGCAAAACAAGGCCAATCTGCCGAGCATTCTCCCAGATTCTGTGTAAAAAATAAAAAATTCTCTGACTCATTACCAATGCAATAATTTACCATGAACATAATATGTATTTTCTTGATAATAAAATGGAAACAGGGCTACAAAATGGTGGTATCACATGATCATGCTATGTCTGGGCTAAAGTATAAAAAAAGGTCAAATGACTTAACTACGATGTTGCTGTTTATCACAGGGTAAGAAGCGTCAGTACGACCAGGAAGTGGAGAACCTGGAGCGGCAGCAGAAGCAGACGATCGAGCGGCTGGAGCAGGAGCACACCACACGGCTGCGGGAAGAGGCCAAACGCATCAAAGCCGAGCAGGACAAAGAGCTGTCCAAGCACCAGAACATGCTCAAGAACCGCAAGAAGGAGGTCAGTGTCACCGGCAATTTACAGTGGTAACCGTTTGTTCACACCTATTGGTCTAATTCTCTCCTAATGACATCACACACAACAAAAAAACAAGATAATTTTCCTTATCTCGTTGGCAAATCTTGTTTTAAGGCAGTCAAAATGTGCTTAAAGGCGCTATACCCGTTTCTGCAATGTTTGAATGTTTAGCACCGCCCCCCAACTCGCTCAATGGCTTCTCATTTCCCCTACGCTCTCATAACACAGAGCCACCTAGTTTTATTTGCGATCTGATACATATGCTAACATTAGCATTAGCGCAACTTCTTGTAAGCTGTGCAACAATCACTGATGAAATGGCACTAAAGAAACGCACTGCTAACACAATATATAAGTAAAAGAATACCGCTAGTTTTGCGTCCGAATGTATCAATTTAAAACCTTAGAATATATTCTAATATTTAATTATAATTTGTTATAGAGCTCCTCAAAGCAGCAGCAGCCATTCTTCCGATCATTTTTTCTTGATAACAGAACTCTCAAACCAATAATGACCGAAGCCCCAATGCAACCTCTGTTTGTAATTCAGGTGTGTAAAATACTGCCATTACTTTGCAAGTACAACAAGCTATCAGCGCCTGTCACTACACACTCGTCTGTGTAGAGAAGCCAACGGAGCTAGCGGAGCTAGCCACGCTCAATAAACAACTACATATCTATAAATCAACACCATTAAACGTCAATCGGACAATACAGTACACATATACATCCTTAACACACATGCACGGATGATTTCAGAATTTGCTGTCAACGTTTTCATGACAAAAATACTGTTTTAAAGTGACAAAAAGCGATTGCGAAAAACCCGGAAGTGACCATGAAACAACTAGCTAGCTAAGCTGTTACCTGCCTAGCACGTCCCGGTGAAACCTTTTGGGAGCTAACTATTTTATTTGCAGTCATTAAATACATTTCGAATTACAAGGGTTGTCTAATATTTGTTCAAATTTTTTTATTCAATTATTTTGTTCATCATTTTTTATTTTAGAATTATATTCGAATTTCGAAGTCGAAGCCCTGGTGTTAAGCAGCGCTGTAGGGGCTAGAGGACGCAGGCTGCTCGCTGCTCGTTCTGTGAGTGGAGGAGAAAGAGCGTCCCGCTCAGACTCTACTCAGCACTTTTCACTGCTTGTAATTCTTACACAGCTGAATCAATTACCTCAAGTTTTTATTAAATGATGTATTATGATACAACTTGTATGTAGTAAAAAGCATTTTTATGAACTACTTAGAAAAAAAATCGGGTATAGCTTCTTTAAAGGCACACCGCGGACTTTGTGACCTAAAGAGTTGACACATATGAGTTATTTTATATGAATACTTGGGCCAATATACAGCGCTTGACACTTGCAATGCTCCGAGCGGGGCTGCCCTCTTGAAATACCGCCCATGTAACTTTCGAGCAGACGGACCGTCTGCCACCAGGTCACGTGACTTGGAAGAAAGACTTGCTTTACGGCTACAGGCGCTGATATACTCATGGAGCTAAGGCTTTTGCTACTCATTTTTCACCTGCTCGACTCCTGGTCATGGCTGAGGCAAGGAAAAATTTTAAACCTTCGGAGGAGGCTAAAAAGAGGAAACGCGAAAGGGATCGTGCTGTAAGCTGCATGTCTGTATGAGCGCTGCTCTTCACCTGGTTCCTGGATGTCATCGACTGCAAAGATGTCATTCCACGCAGCACGAGCTAGACGCAGAACTCCCTCATCCAGGATATAGAAGTCCATGTGTGGTAGATTACTAATGCAGCGGTCTGGAGGCTGACCACAGCAGAGTCTCTCAATATCTGTAGGCATGTCTCTACAGTTTGAACACACACACCAGTGCATGCTGTCTGAATACACACTCAAAAGACACCGGCTGACTGTTGACTTTTGCGACAGTGCTGAGTTGCTTGTGGCCACTAGGGGCGCTAAACGTGAAAGTTGCAGGTCTAGCGCCCCTAGTGGCCAAGAGTTACACGGTGTGCCTTTAAATTGATCTACATTTTGCCAAATTTGAGCATTTTTTTTAAACTTACTTTTAACTCATTGTGTCCCATTGACGCACAAATACGTCAAAGCAAATAGTAACGTCGTGTGCCATTGACGTATTGCCAATTGCCTTTTTCGCTATTTTCACGTTCCCAGACGTCTATTGTATCTAATATGTATGGGGATGACTTGAGACCATATTTTATCGAGCCAGCAGGTGGCAGCATTGCTCTCTGAATGGTTTGAAAACATGTAGGTGCACATGTTGTGCCTCTTTTTTCTCAACTTTCTGGTGATTTCAGTAAAACTTCCCTCTACTCGACGGAGGATTACAGGGGAACAAAAAAAGCTATAAACAAAATTCTTTTTGCTGAGGAAAGTAGACATTCCATTCTTTTAGAATCTGGTGTCGGATTTCAGATAGTCATAGTACACAATATTCTGTGGGTCTTGAAAAATCAGTAAAAATCATCAGAAATGGCTGGCACTGTGGGAGTACCTGTTCTGAAATAGGCTGGCATTCAATGAGTTAATCAGTTTTTGCATGGCAGTTCATTTTCATGTACATTTAGAAAGTGTAAGTATGCTAAAAATGTTTTACTCTATTCTGGTCGACTCAGTCTACCCACTCTGGTCCCAGTCTGAATGCAGGGTTCTTGATACAATGGAGCCTTGTGATGCTTTCAAAGGCGTCTCGTAACTTTTCCATAGAACTCAAACTTTAGAACTGTAAAAAATATCAAGCCATATCTTTTGCCATCATTACAACAAACCCTTTTTGTTAGCGCAATTAAACGTTACCTGCTTTCGCTACACACACAACGACAAAACCAAAACTGCTTCTCACAAAACCAAATGGCTTTCTCCTGTGCTCTTAAATGCATCTGCTGGCCTTGTCTCAGTATGTGATTTACGTGGTACAATCCAGTGTAAATGGAGTAGAAATGGTTTGATGCAGTTAAATCCTGTTTATACCCACCTCATTCAGCGCACATGGGTGTTCATAGGTCTTGTTTGGGTTTTCAGGTTTGTCACTCGTTCCGTATGACTTTTAGCCCGAGTCCTGGATCTATAGCCTGTCTGTACGTGGAATATGGGCGAGGTTTCTCACTATTTTTTGTATTTTTTTTTTTTTTTTACACTTCTCTTGCTGATGCAGGATGGTCTAAGGACAGTAATGACCAGGGACGTTTATTAATATTTTTGGACATTGGTCATCCTGCTCTCTATGGACCTCCTATGTGTTTATTATTGCAATTCCTGTGTTTGGACTCTGACTCCACCGAGACGACTGCTGTTGTGATTTAGGACAGTACAGAATAAATGTCCATAGCCCTAAACTCCATGAAGAAACAAAACAGAGCCCCCATTAATTGGAGCAAGTGCTAAATTTATTGGCACATCTACAGAGACTCATGTTGGTCCTGTCAATGGTCCAGAATACACATTATAATTATCTCAGTGTTAAAGTCTGCTGTTATTCTGGCCTCCGAGCTGCTATTTATAGTGTTTGATTGTGGAGCAGATCCCCGTCTCTGGGCTCAGGCCTTGTTTGGGTTTTCGTGTGCCGTGTTTAGACAATAGAGGCTAAAACCACAGCAGGCCACATCACACGACTATTCCCGTATCGCTCTAATCCATCCGCAGCTCATTCCTCCTTTTTCTGTGGATCTATTTCCCCCACGGCCACTCCGATTTTGGACAAACAGGAAGTGCAACTTTGAATTCTGTAAAGAAACGTATAAAGAGACCATTATCCTTGTTCCAAGAGATGAGGTAATGCATCATGTGTGTATTTTCACTTTTCTTCTTTACTTAAAACTGAATAGTCATGAGCCAATGGTGCTTTTCTTCTTTCTTTACTGCTCCATTGGATTTGCAGCAACTATTCTGTAATTTGCATGGTTTTTTCTACTGTTTAAACAATCAAATAGAGGAGGTAATACAATCCTAGGAACGAAAATAAATGTTTTAGACAAATACAAATAGTTTGTCTTGTCTCTGGTTACAATTGTTGTTGTATTGGAGTCTTTGTGATAAATCCTCTTTTTGACTCCTGCTTCTTTTTAGACATGCTGTAATTAACCTGATCAACAATGAGATTGATTATTTCATAGTAGCTCCTGTTTGCGCTGCAGGGAGTGGCTCATGTTGTGTCATGTCAGTTGTCGTCTGCTGTTGAGGATGTGAGTTTGTGCAGTGAAGACTTTGTGTGGAAACTGCTCTGTCATTTTCATCTTTAATGTGTGCTAAAGGGTGGAACTGTGAAAAAAATCATAATATTTATTGTCACAGAGTTGAGACATTTTGTATAATCTTGAAGACAAAGATACTCATGATTATTCCACCAGATTCAGCTGATGATTCGTCTCTACTTAATTGGACAATCGGCTAAGTAACAGAGTAATAGATGTTTATTTTAGTGTAAGTGTGTAAATTGTAATCATAGATCTACTGAAATGTAATTCATGTAGACAAATGCTATGTTTACTGGCATTTGTCAGTAAACCCCCCCCCCCCGGATGGATAGATGAAGATATTTCTTCAGGGTTAGGGTTAGGTTTAACTAGAAAAAGGACTATAGTGAGGATCCAGGACACTCAACATTCATTGGTCAACTCCCCCCAATGGACCAATACATATGTGTTCTCTATTCTTTGTGTTTGAACTGTTTGATTCTCTGATCTGTGTTGGCGATTTCAACGGTTTTGTTAAGTCCTCTGAAATATCTATTGTTGTTATTTAGGGCTAAACACAAATACATTTCACTCCTGGATAGTTGCATTCATTATCCTAACTTTTTCATTTAGTTGCGCCATGTATTCCCAAATAATGCTTAATGTGAAATATATATTCCTTATCCAAAAGATCTGTGCCTTAGAACACCAACACTGCCAAATGCCTTGTGTGGACTGGAGTTTAGTGGAGTTAGTGCCAAGTAGGACGTGGGGCGACAGCAGGTGAACAGCCCATTGTTCCTTCTGTCTGATCATCGGTCGGATTAGTCCTGGATCCTTTGGCTCTCAGCTCTCAGCTCTCGGCTCTCCGCCCGCTGGACGCTGGACAGATAAGAAGAAGGTCAAAGCAGAGAGCAGAGCGGCCTTAAGCAACACAACAAGCCCAAAGTCGATCATAAAAGAATACATCATAAAGAAAACTAATGTTATGGACCTGGATTAAAAACCTTAATATGCACAAAACTTCTTAACTAAATAAGTTAAGAAGTTTTTTTTAATTCTTTGTTGATTTCAGGAGCAAGAGTTTCTCCAGAAGCAGCAGCAGGATTTGGACAGTGCCCTGAAGAAGATCATTCAGCAACACAAACATGAACTGGCCACGATCGAGAGGGACTGTCTGAACCACAAGCAGCAGCTTCTCCGAGGTAAAGGCCAGATATTCTCCTCAACTCTGCGGTGGTTGCATATTAAAATATAAATGTCTGTGAGGATTACTTGTCTCTGAAAAAATCCATATATTTTTTACTGTTCCATTGGCAAATCTGGTTTTAAAATTATTTAATTAAGATGCATTGTTGTGACTTGCATTCACTGAAAAATATCAACAAGTAATCTGTGTGACTGTAAATATCTTCATTATTATTAATCTTATTACTATTATTATTATTACACAAAAGGAAAAGAGTCACTGTAGTTTTAAGAGATTGAGGACTTTGTAAGAAAATATAACAATGTATAGAAGAATAACGCAGGGGAACTTTTGGCCAGTGCAGAGGACATTCTGCAATTCAACTCCTTTTGACCATTTTTTTAATAGGTTCATTTCAAACATGCAAAGATAAACAAACAATTATTCACTGAAAACAGATTCAAATTCAGATTCATTTATTTGCCATTTGCAGTAAAACCACATTGGAAAAACTGTGCAAGACTACATTATAATAAGAGTAAACAAGAAACCTGTGCATGGTTTGAAAAGGGATTGGTTGAAGCAAAAAGCTTATTTTAATCCAATCCCCTCCGCGCCATACTATTATACAGTACAAAAAAACAAATGTGGCCTTAGGGACTGGTGTTTTACGGTTGTTTACTGATTATAATTAATTTGAAAACTTTTATGGTATACTTTTAGACATTGTAGGTGCTCAATTTTATCTGCAATTTATCAAACAACTGTTAAGCAAACAACGTGCTGGAAAGGTTATCAAATATATTCTTGTTTTTCAATATGACCCAACTTTAGTCGACAATGAGTCAAAACAGTCTGTTGCTGCTTGAAGCTCTTTGCCCTAATCTCAGCCTCGGGGCCCGAGTTTCACAAACATCATGAGTCCCTGAGAAACTGTGTCACGAGCGTCGCTCTCTGAAGGATCCGGTTAAAGAGCTTTCGCTGCTCTCACTCATTCTGAAATCTCATTAGGAATGTTGGGGCTTTTTTGAGTCGTTTCAGCATCAGAAATGAAACTTTCCAGTCAGAAAAAAAAAAAAATAGTATGTCGAACTTGTATAGCACTTTTTGGACACTCTAAGACGCTTTACAAAACAGATAAAAACAAACATTGAAGAAAACTAAGGAAAGGCAAGATGAAACAGGTGGGAGTTATGTAGTGAGTCCAAGTTTTTAAGAACCTAAGATTTTAACCTAAGAAGAAAAGTGTATTTATGATTCCTTGTGGGTCATGGGAGAGTCTAACCTTGTATTAATAGAGATTATTACAGAAATAGACTCCGCAAGCATTTGGCAACAGAACAACATTTTCAAGCTGTCTGATTAGATAAAGGCTGAGCACAGAAATCAAGGCTGATAAACCAAAGTCAGACTAAATAATGCTGGCATCATTTCTATCTTCATTTCAAGTACTCTTCTCTTCTCCAATAGTGCAAAACCATTCATAAACTCCCGTTCCATTGAAACGCAACAACAATACAATAGAGAACTCGATGATGCTGCGTTTGTGCCAAAAGCAAAATGATAAGGTTGCACTACTTTCTCTTTGTGCCCGCAGCTCGAGAAGCGGCCATGTGGGAGCTGGAAGAGCGCCACCTGCAGGAGAAACACCAGTTGTTCAAACAGCAGCTCAAGGACCAGTACTTCATGCAGAGACACCAGCTGCTCAAGAGGCACGAGAAGGTGGGCTAAACTGTCGATCTCTCCACACTCTGCTCTTACTATATCATTGCGGCAGTCAAATAAACTTTCTGTAAAGCTGCAGGGTTAAATTTTGGGCACCAATTTTAGTCCGTGGTCTATACATACCCTGTCTGTCCATGGGAGTGGATCTCTCTCAATATGGGACCCTGGTACCGTATCCTAGCAACCGACCCACAACAAAGCTGTATCTGGTCGAAATTCCTCCAGCTGTACTTTAGCCCAGTGGTTCCCAAAGTGGGGGTCCCGACCCCCCGGGGGGTCGCGGGAACCCCTGGGGGGGTCGCAAGATGATTTCCACACAAACAAACAAAAAAGATTTTTATTTTTTGAGCAAATATAAAGCCCTTAAATATTTATTTAGCATTTGATTTGATTCAAAAGGACTACTTGTTAAATTGTGTTTGGAGACTATAATATATTTTACAGTAATAACGTTAGTAATTTTGTCCCAGTCATTGCAGCGTCAATCAAAATCATCACGTAACACAGCTCACATCATGCGCAGCGGCAATGCGTGTCCTGCTGTGGTTTGCTAAAACTAAAGGTGTTTGGAGGCTACAAATAAATAATACCTGCTTTAAAATGAAATGTGGTTAATATCCACAACAGAAAAACCCGGAGGGGGAGAAAAGTCACTTGTATCAGGGGTCAGGCTGATGGTGCGAAGAGAGGGAGAGAGGGCAGAGGAGGGAGAGAGGGCAGCGGAGGGAGAGAAGGCAGCGGAGGGAGGGAGAGAGGGCAGAGGAGGGAGAGAGGGCAGCGGAGGGAGAGAGGGCAGAGGAGGGAGAGAGGGCAGAGGAGGGAGAGAGGGCAGAGGAGGGAGAGAGGGCAGCGGAGGGAGGGAGGACAGCGGTAGAACAGCGCGTTAAAGAGGCCCGGCTTTTCGGAGTCAAAGGTAAAGAGGTCCGCACATTAAAAGCGGGTGGCCGGTTTATGCCTTTACTGACAGTAACTTTGGAAAGAGAAGCCGCGGGGATGAACCGCATAAAGTAACAGCAGAAAGCGGCCGCCCGCTTTTAATGTGCGGACCTCTTTACCGCTGACTCCGGAAAGCCGGCCCACTTTACCGCGGTAGGAGAACAGTGAGGGCGAGCCGCAAGAATTGCGCTCCACTTCTGCTGAGGAGGGAGCCCACCAAGCCCATCACTGTGTCACTACATGAGTAAAAATATGCAAACCTCCTTTTTTGGGCTGGACAGTACAGCTCGGTAGTGGCGTGAGTCTCTAGAAAGCGTTACTCCTTATCAAGGAAATACATGCTCATTTCATGTGACGGAAGGGCTGTTGGGGGGGCGGGGGTCGCGGGTTAGCAGGGCATTTATGATGGGGGTCGGGGGCTAAAAACTTTGGGAACCCCTGCTTTAGCCAATCACTGTCAGTCATTGCTTTCTCGCACTGCTCTAGTCACTTTTAATTATTCAATGTACATAATATATCTTGCACAAAAGAGGCTATGTTTTTACCTTTTTGCTTGACCTGAGTGATTCTATCTATGCCAAATGTGACCCAATTTTTCCATTGTGAGATTGTCATTGGAATGTTGTTTTAGAGTTATTATTTTAATGAATCATATGTGGCTGAAATATATTGTATTCTGAAATGGTTGCATTTTAATTCACCTTTGGCGCCAGATTGTGTGGACGAAGGGAGTTTTGTATGTTCATCCATTTTGCCACGATGGCATGGGCCGTGTACTATTTAAATCTAATTTTATTTTACATGTTAATAAGGAAGGCCTTGTCTTGGTCCCTTTGTTCTGTTGGTTCTTCCCTTCCTATATCTCTGTTAGGACGCGTTCTCCTTGGACTGGGCAACAAGTAAAAAGAATGCCTGAACTATTTCCATTTGTGTGAGATTTTGTCCAGGTTCGACTGTAGTTTAAAATCAGCATGAGCAGAGATCAATGAAGTTTTTCTTATCTTTCTCCTTTTTAAGCATTTCATTCTAAAACATGGAATGCAAACGGAAAGATCATGTTTCAAGTTAAAATGTTATGCATCATATTTATATATTCCTTACGCTCACGTTTGGTTTTGTTTTGTTTCTGTCCAGGAGATGGAGCAGATGCAGCGTTACAACCAGCGTCTGATCGAGGAGATGAAGAACAAGCAAACGCAGGAGAGGACGCGGCTGCCCAAGATCCAGCGCAGCGAGGCCAAGACCCGGATGGCCATGTTCAAGAAGAGTCTGCGGATCACTGCTGCCACCATCACCCCAGAGCAGGAGCGAGAGAGGGTCAAACAGGTGAGGGGAGGAGGGAGAGAGGAGGGAGGGAGAGAGGGTCAAACAGGTGAGGGGAGGAGGGAGAGAGGAGGAGGAGAGAGGAGGGAGAGAGGGTCAAACAGGTGAGGGGGAGGAGGGAGAGAGGAGGGAGGGAGAGAGGGTCAAACAGGTGAGGGGAGGAGGGAGAGAGGAGGAGGAGAGAGGAGGGAGAGAGGGTCAAACAGGTGAGGGGAGGAGGGAGAGGGGAGGGAGGGGGAGGGAGAGAGAGGGTCAAACAGGTGAGGGGAGGAGGGAGAGAGGGTCAAACAGGTGAGGGGAGGAGGGAGAGAGGAGGGAGAGAGGGTCAAACAGGTGAGGGGAGGAGGGAGAGAGGAGGGAGGGAGGAGGGAGAGGGTCAAACAGGTGAGGGGAGGAGGGAGAGAGGGTCAAACAGGTGAGGGGAGGAGGGAGAGAGGAGGAGGAGAGAGGAGGGAGAGAGGGTCAAACAGGTGAGGGGAGGAGGGAGAGAGGAGGAGGAGAGAGAGGGTCAAACAGGTGAGGGGAGGAGGGAGAGAGGAGGGAGGGAGGAGGGAGAGAGGGTCAAACAGGTGAGGGGAGGAGGGAGAGAGAGAGGGAGGGAGGAGGGAGAGAGGGTCAAACAGGTGAGGGGAGGAGGGAGAGAGGAGGGAGGGAGGAGGGAGAGAGGGTCAAACAGGTGAGGGGAGGAGGGAGAGAGGAGGAGGAGAGAGGAGGGAGAGAGGGTCAAACAGGTGAGGGGAGGAGGGAGAGAGGAGGAGGAGAGAGGAGGGAGAGAGGGTCAAACAGGTGAGGGGGGGAGGGAGAGAGGAGGAGGAGAGAGGAGGGAGAGAGGGTCCAACAGGTGAGGGGAGGAGGGAGAGAGGAGGGAGAGAGGGTCAAACAGGTGAGGGGAGGAGGGAGGGAGGAGGGAGAGAGGAGGGAGAGAGGGTCAAACAGTTGAGGTGGGCAGGGAGGAGGAGGAGAGAATAGGGGGAGAGGGAGGAGGAAGAAGGATAGTAGAGGGGGAGAGGGAAGAGTGGGAGAGAGAGGAGGGGGAGAGGAGAAAAAGGAGGAAGGAGAGGGAGGAGTGGAAGAGAGAAGAAGGGGAGAGGTAAGAGGACAGAAAGGAGGGAGAGGGAAGAGGAGAGAGGAGGAAGAGGGAGAGAGGGAAGTGGAGGGGGAGGAGTGGGAGAGAGAGGAGGGGAAGAGGGAAAAAGAGCTGGAAGAGTGGGAGAGAAAGGAGGGGGAGGAGGGGGAGAGGGAAGAGAAGAGGGAGCAGGAAGAAGTAGAGAGGTGGGAGAGGGACGAGAAGAGGGAGGAGGAAGGAGGAGGAAGAAGGAGAGGGGAGTGAGAGGGAGAGAGAGGAGGAGGGATGATGTAAACAGTAGTCTGTGCAATACCAATTCTACCCTCAGTGTGTCAGAATTCTCCCTTTTAAACTGATTTGAGTGAAATGAAAATTGTAATACAGATTTATATTTACAATCCTAAATATAAAGGGGCATAATTCTCTAAAATCTTGGTATTTCGTCCTGCAGAAAGCGAGCCCAACGCTTACCTTATCCCCAATGCTCCCCTTGCACTGTCCCTAACCATAACCTCTAATGATTATGACTCTCAAACACAAATGTTACAACAAAAAATGGCAACTACATTTGGATATTTCCCACTGACAGGAAAGAAACCGCAATATTTTAGGGAGTCCCAATAATGTGCATTGGTTCCTCATTTAAACAGTGATGTCAACAATTAACTAACGTGTGTGTGTGTGTGCGTCAGTTTGCGGCGCAGGAGGAGAAGCGGCAGAAGAACGAGCGGCTGCACCAGCAACAGAAACACGAGAACCAGATGAGAGACCTCCAGCTCCAGTGCGACGCCAACATCAGAGAACTACAGCAGCTGCAGGTCAGAGCCTCCTCCTGGGTCACTGCTGTAGGCAATGATATTATACACACTGATCGTAATGTGTCAGCACTTTAGACACGACAAATTAAAATTCTCATGGCAGGCAATAACATAACAGATAATAATGCACTAAAACATTATAATCACCCTTTCTCACTGGCTCTACATACTTAGCAATCATTTATACATCTCATTAGGACTAGTTACTGTAATCCAATCAAAAAGACTGCCAATATGTTATGAAGAGCCATTTGTTTGAGGTTGTATCCATGTCCCTCTTCTGGGTCACTTTAACTGGACCAATTCTGGTTCACTTGGAGATGTCCGTGTGTTCACTAGTCAGACCCAGGTTAGAGTATACATCCCTATACATCAGAAAGAAGGTTAGAAGTCCAAATATACATCTACAAGAGGGTTAGTGGTCTCAGTAGACATACAACATAGGGTTAGAGGCCTCAGTTCACATCAAAAATAGAGTTAGAGGTCTCAGTATTAGGGCTGTCAAAATTATTGCGTTAACTCACGTTAATTAAATTTTTCATTAACGCGTTAAAACAAAATTAACGCATTAACGCACGCCCATTTATCCATTATCACTCAGAATGCTGCGTGTGAGATGGCATCAGAGCAGGTAGGCCCTCTGGGGATTCATGTTTTAAAAGAATACGCGCGCCACCGCGGGGCTGTTGTTTGCTGTGAACTGAAGTCCGCCTCCTCCGTGGCCGCTCTGACTGTGAGCCGGTCACAACAACACGGCTGTGAGCGGCTGTGAGTGAGTGGCGCCGCGGTAACATGGTCATAAGACCAAACACGCCACAGAACTATTGTCTGCATGTTGTGTTCGTGTCTTTGCAACCTGTGCGTAACCTGTGCGCGCAAATACAGCGCAGGAGTGTCCGTCTCCTCCTGAAACTAAACTAAACTGAAACGCTGAATTAAAGCTGGGGTATGTAAATTTTCCCCTTTCATTAACAGCTCATGTTGGTTTTGCCCAAAAGAAAACAGATTTAAGTACATTTGGTATGAATGACAATGTGTCATTATATTTGATAATCTCATTTAACTTCAATTGGAGTGGATTTTAAATGGAATGTTAAAAATGCGATTAATCCTGAGTTAACTAACCATTTCTGTGCGATTAATCAACTAAAAAATGTTAATCGTTTGACGGCCCTACTCAGTACATCAAAAATAGAGTTAGAGGTCTCAGTATACATACAAAATAGAGTTAGAGGTCTCAGTATACATCAAAAATAGAGTTAGAGGTCTCAGTATACATACAAAATAGAGTTAGAGGTCTCAGTATACATACAAAATAGAGTTAGAGGTCTCAGTATACATACAAAATAGAGTTAGAGGTCTTAGTATACATGAAAATTTGAGTTAGAGCTCCCAGTATACATCAAAAAGAAGGCATTGTGCATTTAAAATAACTTGCATATCTAACTGGCAGGCAGGTTTGTAGCCTCTGTTTCTTCTCTCTTTTAGTGATTCTTTTAGTTCTGTGATTATTTATGCCTTGTGTGATTTTAATGTGTGATTCAGCACTTTGAGTTGCTTTGTGTATAAACTGTGCTATACAAATAAGCTTGAAGTGGACCATAATATCAACCAAAACCTCCCAGTAACTTACCCACACAAACCTATTATTAGAGTGATGTCTGAGCAGTGGCACACAATACATCCACATGAAACAGGAATGTTGCGAATTGACAACTCGATGTTAAATATATTTCTCAATCCTGTCCCTCAGAACGAGAAGTGCCACCTGCTGATCGAGCACGAGACTCAGAAGCTCAAAGAGTTGGACGAAGAGCACAGTCTGGAGCTGAAGGAGTGGAGAGAGAAGCTCCGGCCCCGGAAGAAGGTGCGTTCTCATAACTGTGTGTCATTGCAGACCCGATAGTCCCAGTATCCCCCCTGTTCTGATTCATCATTCATTAACACTTTTAACACTTTTTTAATGCTTTTGAACTGTTTTATTGTTTGAATGCACACATGTTTTAATAGATTGTATGTGATTTTTTTTGTAAAGCACTTTGGTCGCCTTGAGTTTTGTAAACTCGGCTGGTGCTATGAGACTTGGGTGGCATCTCTGACTGCCACCCCCCTGACCCAGAAATGGATTAAAGGGTAGAAAATGGATGAATGGATGGAGTTTTGTAAAGGACTCTAAATGAAATGGATTGATTGATATTTATACTTCATACTATTGCCACGTTATAATATCATACTTACTTATCCATAACCTGCATTGTTAAAACCCTCGTGCAACCCTCTGTTCAAATCGACCTGCCACAATAATTCAAAAATACCCTAAATACATTTTTTCAAGCCAAATTTTGAGTATTTTTCCAAACTCATTTTTATTAATTCACTTATTTGAATTTAGGACAGTACATATTCATCAATGCGTCTGCAAACAGCGTCAACATAAATATTCTGGAATTGGCACAGTAGCTAAATTGCATCCATTGTCCTAAGGCCGGTAAGAAACACACAAACACACAGTCAGGTAAAAGTACGTACAATCGGTCGACAAGCACAACATAAAGAAATTAAAACAGAAAAGAAAGTCTGTTTTTTACTTGTATTTAGGTCTTTTTTGTCTACTTTTAAATCACTGTGGTCTTTGTTTTGATTCACATACTTGTCTAGTGCACACTGGGGTACATTCGCACGTGTATTCCAATGTGGTTTTGCTGCAAACGTCCAAAAAACCAAACTAAAATCTGACTGTGGTGGTCCCTCTGTCCCCAGGCCTTGGAGGAGGAGTTTTCGCGTAAACTCCAGGAGCAGGAGGTGTTCTTCAAGATGAGCGGGGAGTCCGAGTGCCTTAACCCGTCCACCCAGAGCCGCATCTCCAAGTTCTACCCCATCCCCAGCGTCCACTCGTCCGGATCCTAATGTCGAGACAGAACCGGGAGCTTTCAATCCTTCATACGTGTACATTTTGAACCCACACACGGACTCACCGTTTAGACAGAAAACCAGCGGCCTGTCTTTACCTTCGCCCCGTGGACTCGTCACAAGATGGCGACAGACTTAGACGTGAAGAAATCCTGTTCGTTTCCACCTGGATTTGTTGTTGTTTTTAGGTTTTTTTTTACGTAAATGTGTAGAAAATGCCACTGAATTGAAGACCCACTGTTTCATGTTTTGGCTTGAATATGAGATTTCAGTGCCTGGATTGAGTTAGTTTGAAGAATTCGCCATTTTGCTGCTTTGTTTGCTTTCATTTAACTTTTGCACTAAGCATGTTTTTACCATTTTAACTGCTTTTTAAATTGGGAGAAAAGAAAAAAACTAAAAAGGCTACCACTGATTTTATAGTTGAAATAGAATGTACATTTTTATATTGAAGGAATGCTCATATTTCTGTGGATAATAGTGTTGTAGAATGTTGTTTGATTTTTGGTTGAAAACTGCAAAAAAAATGTTGAAAAATAAGATAAAAATTGCTCAAATTTGGCTAAAAGTGTCTTAAATTTGAGCACATTTTGACTTCCTTAAAACGCAATGATACAAAAAAAATAAACTTCTTGTTTTAAGACAGTCGGAATGTTCTTAAACTTTATTCAAGCAATTATTACCTCATGTTTTATCATTTTTTGCAGTGTAAAGAGCTAATTTGAGAATATTCAGGGTTTTATTTGTGGATTATTATGTTACTTTTAGCACAGAATACAACTCCATTCTAAAACAGACAGACAAAAGCATTGTGATGTCCAGCAGGTTCTGAAACTGAGATATTAGTTCATTTAAATGTCTTTGTGGACAGAAAAAAAATGCGATTATATACAGATAAAATAAATTGTAGAGTATGTTTTAATGGCGTACTACAGAGACCATAAAGTTCCTAAAAACATCATATATATATCGCTCTTGGCAAGTCATTTCTAAAAAAAAAAATCCCATCAACTTTTAGGCTCAATGCAATATTTAAAGGACTCGCTTCAATCTGACTGTGTTTTATCAATGGCTTTAGTGTCACGTTTTGAATTGGAGTTGTAATTCTCATCACTATTTTAAAGTTAATGACGTGTTTACATTGAGAGACGGCATGAGACCGGCATCAAACTGGTTCCAGTAAGGGCAGGTGTGGCTACAGGATGTATTGGACCCTTTTGAGGACCAGTTTGACTCCTCTGGTTGAGTGGACACACAGAGAAAATCACTGTGGAGCCAAAACAACAACCTCCCAGCCTGATCTGGCATCCCCCAGTAATCAACAGTCCAGGATCAATGTCAAAGTCGCTTCACCAGGATCAATGTATTAATGGGTTAGGGGTCAGAGGATGGGGTTAAGGTTAGAGCTATGGTTAGGTCTCAGGGGCAATTGTGAAAAAGGTCAGCAGGAGGGAAAAGTGATGACACAAGTTAAACGGCAGAGATAAGCGTCACTACGTCCGTTTATATTTATAGTCTATGGTTAAGACTAGGGTAAAGGATAGAGCTATAATTCACTATGGTTAGGTTTTGGGTCAAGACTAGGGTAAAGGGTAGGGTTAAGTTTAGAACACTATGCTTAGGTTTTGAGTTGAGTTGAGAGTTTATTTATTTCTTGTTCAATGTACATTATCAGACAACATATTCAAATGTCGCTATGTAGAATTTTCTAACAAATCATTCCCCTATAGGGGTAAAGGTTTGGGTTATAGGTCCAGGCTCAATGTCAAAGTCGTTTGACCAGAATCAATGTTTTGACGGTTTAGGGGTTAGAGGATAGAGTTACGGTTAGAGCTATGGTTCACTATGGCTAGGACTATGGTTAAGTTTCAGGTTTAGACCAGGGATAGGGTTGTAGGTCCATCACTAACTCGTAAAAGTGATCCTGGACTGACAATTGCTTGGTGATGCCTCCTACAACAGGTGGACAGAAGTCTTGGATCGTCTTGTTTTGAATGGCTTTGTTCCTATCTGTCGGTGAGGGAAGAAGACGAGATGAAATGTTCAAAACAAAATGCCTTCAGTTTTGTAATTATGTTCATGAAAGCTTTGTGTGGCTTTAGTTTTCCTTTCAGAGCCTCTTGAATGGCTGTTTGGATTACTATGATCCGTCGAACTGACATAAACAAACATTATCAAATACAAAAACTCAAATCATAACAATATTTCCAATCAATTTCAATGAAAGTTTATTTTATTTGTCTTGAAGAAACAATGAGAATCCTGTGTAACCTTCAACAGCACAGGCCTGACTGGTTGAGGCCATGTTCGCATCAGTTTGATTTCACTTTGTTTTGTACAAACGTCTGTTACATGAAGCCGTGCTGTGCACCTTTTCAGACCAATACTTTACTGTGGTCTTTAAGTTAAGTTACATGATCCTGTAGTTTATTGATCAGTAATACTGTTAAGTACAGATACAATATACATTTACAAATCATTATGAGATGTACAGTTCAGATGCTTTAGCTGTTTTTAGATGTTTGTCTTTTGGATGTAAATAAACCATTTCTTTGACTGGAGATTTTTTCATGTCTTTAAATTAAACTCTCAGAAGAAACTAGAAATATGGATGATGTTAAGTTAAAAACCAAGCCCCGGCGATCCAAGATGGCGCCCTATTCAAATGAATGGTTGTGCTCTGTGGCGCTTTGTGACGGCATGGGGGCTGAAAGATTAGCGGAAGTTGCCTGGAACTCGCAAAGATCTATGGGAAACTCGCCTGTATTTGGGCATCGTCTGGTCCTCCCGGTTCTGCGCAGTGGATGATCTCCCATAATGCGTTGCGCCAAACACGCGTGTGTGGGTCTCACACCGGGTCTCATGCACGTGCACAGAGGGGCTCGGCCGCGCACTGACCAATCAGAGCAGTTCATCAGAGCGGGAGTTAGAGCGAGAGCCAGACGAGCAGACTTTGTGGCACTAAAGTGTGGATTTAAACAAAACCGAAGGATTTAAGAAGAAAAAAAGTTCAGGATGACAAGGGACACTAAAATCCCCACAAAATCCAACCTTTATTAAAGCTGTAGGTTCTCTGTCAGCTGAGGTCGAGCTGTTTTAATATGCATTGAGTTCTATGGGGAAAATTTCTGGGTAGCCCACGTGAATTTAGTCTGGTTCAGTCTGCAGTACCGCGACAATCCCCTGAGCACGTGAGTTATTCAGCTACAAGCTAGTAATACCCTATCCAGTTATTATAATAGATCCATGATTAAAACATACTCAAGTTGGAAGTCACAAATAATGCCACATTTGCCAAAAATCATAAACATTTACATTGATTAACAAAATAAATCCATAAATCTTACAAAAACTGTACATGTATTAAAAAAGTTAAACTCCTCTGAGACTCCGCCTCTTTCTCTGGGACGAGTACGACAACACTCCTGAAAACAGAAGAACAAAGTGGTTAACGATAGTCTTCGGTCTCTGCGTCACATTGTGGTTCAGAGAGACGCCCACCTCTTGGTCCTGGAGGTCCTCTTTCACCTGTTGAGACACAAACTGTAAGTACAGTGCTTTCTTCTTTTATTTGTTTCATAAAGGTTCAAGTGCGATACCTTTGGGTCCCGGATCTCCTGGTCTCCCCACGATGGCCCCGTACTCTGAAGAACAACAGCATTAGACTTTACATTTACCAACACCACAAACATGAATGATACGACATACTTTTGATGTGCTCCACTAGATCAACTGCATTTGTGTCCGAGCCAAACACGCGGCTGTAGCCCGCGGGCCCAGGGGGGCCGCGTGGTCCTGGGGGGCCTCGGTAGACACGAGACTGCTGCTCATTTAACACATCTCTGAAAACTCCAGATGCTGCAGAGACCAGAGCGCTTCAGTCGTGTGAAGAAAACAGAACAGTGTCTTTCATCTCACCTTTCATGTAGTTCACCAGTTCAGTGGTATTTGGGTAGGACGCGTACCCTTGTGTGTACCCAGAAGGACCTGGGGGCCCTGGGGGTCCTGGGGGTCCTCGGACCACAGTCCGTGTACCCACATCCTGCAGGAGTCCTTGAGCTGCAGGAGGAGGACATCAGTTACTCTACATTCTGAGGAGGACTTACAGAGAGTGGACTCTTACTCTTGATGTAATCGGTGACTCTCAGGGCCATGCTGGAGTAGTCTACACTGTCACCGGGCTCTCCGTTGCGTCCTGGAAGTCCTGGCGGTCCAGGCAGACCAGGATGTCCGAACATGGGAACCCCAGCACTGTCAACTACAACAGACAAACCCAGAGGTAACACAATGCAACAGACTTTATCTAAAACATCATTTTTTTCAGTTTCATGGAAACAAAGAATAGAAAAAAGTCCTACGCCTTGTGTAGTCCTGCAGTCGAGGGTTAGGAAACTGTCTGTTGGTGTTTTCTGCGTATGATACCAGACCATTTATCGGCCCAGGTGGTCCAGCAGGTCCTGGGGGCCCTGGGGGGCCTTGGGGACCTCTGAAGGAAACACCTTAAACAGAAAAGCACGGGGATACATTTAGGAACTGAGCAACACACACTGTCATTGCTGAAACCAGGACTCACTCTGCAGGTAGTCACGGATGTCACCGTTGAATTGGCTTGTCAGGCCTGGAACACCAGGAGGTCCTGCAGGCCCTCGAGGTCCCATTGGTCCAGGGGCCCCTGGGATCCCAGGAGGTCCCTGAGGGCCGACCACAGCTGCAACATAAAAAGAAGGGTTTAGAGAAAGATGAAACTGTGAGAACTTGAACCACTTATATTTTACCATTGAAAGACCCTGGAAGACCAGGTGCTCCAGGGGGTCCTGGGGCTCCTGGTACACTCGCCAGCCCTCGCTCTGAAGAGGACCACATCAGTCAGGATCTGTTTGAGCTCAGGACTTTTTAGAACCAGGTCTAAAAAAGCTCCTACTCACCATTCATAAGAGCAAGAACTCTCTCTGCCATCTCTCCTGTGTTAAAAGAGTAACCTCCCCCTCCAGGAGCTCCCGGGGGTCCTGGCGGTCCCGGCGCAGCTCCAACGAATCTTCTCACATCCTCTCCTGCAGATAACACCCAGTAACAGAAACTATATTCACAAACTAAACAAAAGAGAAAATCCTCAAAGGAAGGCTTTCATGGTTTTCAGATTGACTTTACTGTTATTCATAGAGCCTTCATTAGGAGTGGACCACAGCCTTTTGGAACATAAGCAGCTGGAGCCAATTTCCTTATATGGGCTTTTCTTCAGTGGTGTTAGCTTTATGTTTCTAAAACAGTTCTATGGCAAGCTGTGGTTTCCCCCATGAATGAAGGCATCTGATTGGTCAATCCTTATATGGCTCAGATCTGGATTTACAATATCCCAAGTATAAACCACAAGTTCACAGAGGGCACTAAACTACAGATTATTTTGGCCCAAAATGGTGAATTTGACACAATCTGTTTCTGAAGTATAGGAGTTTACTTTTCAATTTAAGTCCTTAGTAGCTCGAGAGCAAGCTACACTTTGTTCATGAGCACTTCCTTATTGGGCTTCTTTGAGCTGGGGGGTTGCATTGTCCGTCCATATACAGTCTATGTTTTTTATTCAGTTAAACACTGAAAGTGATGTTACTTACTTTGGATCAGGGAAATTATGTCGTTGACAGAGACAGCTCCTGGGGGTCCAGGGGGCCCTGGGGGCCCTGGGGCTCCGGATCTACTGTCTAATCTTTGGCCTAAACAAATCAGGAGGTTTGACTTTGAATATCTTAAATATTACCATTAGTAATTTTCTTTTACTTTGAATGTAGCTGAGGATTCGGTTGGTTACATCATCCAAGTCTGCAGGAGAGCCTCCTGGTGATCCTGGGATACCAGGGGCCCCTGGGGATCCAGGAACTCCAGGCGGACCTGGGGGACCCTGAACACCTGAACCTAAAATTAAAAAGGTGGTTTTATTGAATCAGCTACATATCCTGTTTAAAAAACACATTGGGCAACAGAGATGAGAATGCACCTTGTCCATAGTTAAAGGCCGGTTCTCCGGGGGGCCCTGGGGGTCCAGGCAGACCTGGAGGCCCCTGAACACCTGAACCTAAATTCAAATATGTGTTAGGTTTTTTTCTTTTTTTAATCAAAACGCCACCTTTATATAAAACATGTGTCAAGCAAAAGTGTTCAAGACTACACCTTGTCCATAGCTGAGGGATGGTGCCCCGGGGGGCCCTGGGGGTCCTGGTGGACCGGACAGGTACTGCCTGATGACCTCACCTGCACTCAGAGCAATTAACCATGAACCATTATCAGATCTGTTACCTTTGCGTGGGATAAACAAACAACTCACTCTGAAGTAACTGTTCCACAGCTTGGCTCACATCTGCAGATGTATCTCCTCCTTGAGCCTGAGAACCAGGGGCTCCTGGGGGACCTGGAGGGCCGGGTGGAGCTGCCATTGACACAGATTCAATATTTGTTGCTAACAGTAGTTTATTATTATTATGAATCTGTTTGTCCTGTTTATATGACGTTTGTTATAGAACAGGTACCTGCTGGTCCAGGTGGGCCCTCAGGTCCTGGAGGCCCCGGTGCTCCAGGCTGACCTGGGAAACCTGAACAGTATATTTGGTCAATTACAATAAAATGTATATAAGGCTGATTGGCTTTAATTCATGGAAAGAAAACATGTTTTTGCTTCACAATGAAGCTCAAAATAATCTGTTCACAAACCGTAGCCTGGCTCTCCTTGCTCTCCTGGGTCTCCTTGGCTTCCAGGAAGTCCTGGCTGACCTGGGTCTCCTGCAATTATCATATAAATACATCTGTTAAAATATTCTTAGTTTGGATCCCTGGCAATTATAAATAGAATATGACTAAATTGTTGGTTTTATTGAGGCCAGGACACCCAGTCGTCTACCTGCATCACCAACAGGTCCCGGGGGTCCAGGGGGTCCTGGTGGTCCCGAAAAGAAGGTCTCTGTACAAAATAAAAGGCACAGCCATAAGTGTCCAACACAAGGCCACATTCAGGGAGAACCACAGTGTGTTCATTCACCGGACGTTGGCAGAAAGCTGCCCGGCTCTCCTCTGTCTCCTTTAGGGCCCGGAGTGCCGACACCTGAGGGTTGGACACAAACATGAGTTCTGATACTGAACTTGTGTAGATCTCACTTTGGACAGACGCTCTGTACCTGGAGCACCTGGAGGACCTTTACGTCCTGGAGGACCAGGTTGACCTTCACCTGAAACATCACAAATCCTCTTAGACCAAAGTTAGACCTGTGACACTGTGTCTGGGCATGAGGTTGTACCAGGGAAACCTTGGGCTCCGGCTGGTCCAGGTGGCCCTGGGGGTCCAGGGGGACCGGGGGGTCCTGGAAGGGCAGCAGCAGAACCAACATCTGTAAATGAAAGTAAAGGTGATATGAGGTGAACAGAATCGTCTGTTTGAGCAGATGCTGATGCTCAGAGACTCACTGTTGGAGTCAGAGGAGAACACAGACTGTGAGCTCCTGCTGCTGCCGGCAGCTCCAGCGTCTCCTTGTTCTCCACGTTCTCCTCGTTCTCCTCTTTCTCCTCTTTCTCCTCCTTCTCCTCTCTGTCCCTTGGCCCCAGGCTCCCCCTTCTCTCCTTGCTCGCCTTTTGAACCTAGAAGGTGAAGTATATTCAGCCTTGTTTCTCGTTGATCCACTCTCTTCAGGTCAGACAGTATTTACCCGGAGCTCCAGGGGCCCCAGCTGGACCGATGGGTCCCGACAGACCCGGGGCTCCGGCAGGACCTGGGGGTCCAGCGGCGCCGGGGGGACCCGGGATGGCCACCTGTTCAGAGCCAACTGCAGAAACACAACATCATTTTGTTTAAAGATTAAAGCAGTGATGGACGAAAGTCTAAGATTGTGCTGCGATCTCACCGGGAGAGATGATTTTCCCTGGAGCCCCAGCTTCTCCTGAAAACACAAGAAGAAGAGTTACTGAAGAGTTACAGAATTACAGAAGAGTCACAGAAGAGTTACAGAAGAGTTACAGAAGAGTTACAGAAGAGTCACAGAAGAGTTACAGAAGAGTTACAGAAGAGTTACAGAGTTACAGAAGAGTTACAGAAGAGTTGCAGAAGAGTTGCAGAAGAGTTACAGAGTTACAGAAGAGTTACAGAAGAGTTGCTGAAGAGTTACAGAAGAGTTACAGAAGAGTTGCTGAAGAGTTACAGAAGAGTTGCAGAGTTACAGAAGAGTTACAGAAGAGTTACAAAAGAGTTACAGAAGAGGGTGTTTCTGTTTCCTCTGTCTCAGCGTTCTATCATGAAGAATACTAAACATCATGTATCATTATTATTACCCTGAGCTCCAGGTTGGCCAGGAATTCCAGCAACACCTGTGCACAATACAGTAAGTACAGTAAGTACAGTGAGTGTAAAGAGTGTAAAGAAACAGAAGTGCAGAAGTGTGACGTCAGTTTTACCTGGAGGCCCCTGAACACCTGGGACTCCTGAAACAGAACATGCTCATGAGGAAGACGAACATGTTTTTGTGAAAATGAAACATGATTCTATCTCTAATATCTACTGTGAGTTTTAAAAAATTATGTGTGAAGTGGCACCTGGGGGCCCATTGTCTCCTTGAACCCCTGGAGGTCCTCTTGCCCCAGGCAGTCCTGTGGAGCCTGCTTCACCTGTTGAACATCACAGGTTCAAACTCTGGTCTATTATTCAAAACTGAAATCATGATTTTACCTCCAAGTCCTTTGGATCCCTTTGGACCGGCTGGACCGGGGGCCCCTGCCTGTCCTGGTTCACCTAAACGGCAAACCGACACATATTTCACACACCAACATAACGATAACAGCAGAACACACTGTTGCCCCCATCACTACACTGTTGTATACAAGATCAAGATAATGATTTATAAATATTATATATTTTACTAACTAATGTAGCAAAACCTTTGTGAACGTACCGGCTGGTCCACGTGGGCCCCTTTCTCCTTGGTCTCCTTTGATTCCTTGGGCCCCAGGAGTTCCCCGATCACCTTCAGAATTAAACCAGAAGCAAATCCATATTAAGTCACAATGTCTTCTCATGATGTGGTTGCACAGACCCCAAACTACATTCTTTATATCAGCAACCGACAAATCAAATAACACCTGTGAGTAATTTATGAACTGTTTGACTTTCTTAAATATAAACATTACATTACATACTTGTTTTAGACTACAAATATATACTTTATACCTGGGTGAAAATATTATTTGGTTTGTTGAGATCAATCGTTTCAGCCCTTTCCTAAGCATAATCCTTCTAGAAGCAGTTTACAGAGTTATGGCCGTGTACATTTCAGATGTGTTTACATCTCCCAACATTAGCTGTAGTTGTTAGATGCTCCTGCTTTCTAACAGAGTTCTACTTAAGCCCAGGGGCCAGTGATCCACAGTGAGTCGCACCTTTGGCTCCTGGAGCGCCGGCTTCACCAGCAAAACCCTTGAGCCCCGGAGCTCCTGCAGCAAACACAAGGTTTAGAGTCAGACACATGAGTCCAGTTTGTGCTAAAGTCTGGGAACCTTACCTGTGCCTCCTGGAGCTCCTTGTTCTCCCATTGAACCTAAACTCAACACAAACAATCATTGGCACAAATGAGACTTAAACTGAAATGAGTGAATGATCAAACTGCTGACGTCACCTTTGGGCCCCACAGGTCCTGAAGCTCCGGCAGGTCCAGGGCGTCCAGCTTCTCCCGCAGATCCTGACAAACACAGCTCTTTAATGTCTACAATCCTCCTCAAACACCACGTCTCGTCATAGAGACATTTTACCTTTTTCTCCTTTTTCTCCAAACCCTGGAAGACCAGGCTCTCCTCTGGGTCCCGCGGGGCCCTCACGGCCCCTCTGTCCCTGAGGTCCTTCAGCCCCAGCCTCACCTGGACTCCACAGAGAACACATGTTTATTGAGTTATAGATAGAATAAGATCAACTGTATTGTCCCAAGGAAAATGTACAGTGGGATACAGTGCTACGCAGATCTACATGAATTGATAAAAATAAAAAGGACAGGTTTACAGGTTTACAAGTTTACAGGAAGAAAGCAAACAGGAAAGTGCGGTACTGCTTTGAAGTCTCTGTTTGGTCCAATTCCAAATCAAAGTAAATAATAATAATTACGCCGTGGATAGACCGACAGATTTACAAATCTTTAGGGCCCAATTTTTATCCAACCACACACCTGTTGTACACGACGTATTCTCATTCATACCAATGTACCTTTCTTCTCTCCAATCTCTAATGTTTGGAGATTAGCTCACCTGCACTGCCCTTGGCCCCTCGAGGTCCCTCCTGTCCGGGATGACCCATCTGTCCTGGGGGACCTGCAGTAATCACCATAATGATTTAGAACAAACATAGACATGAATCACATACATCAATCTGTCAGAGGGGGTTTTACCTGGCAGACCCGGGAAGCCATTCTCTCCTGAAACACACACACATTTATTTAGATTTGTCTTCAGTCTTAACATGTATAATTGTGTATCAATCTTACCTTTCATGCCCATAGCTCCGCTCTCACCTGCATACATGAGAATCGTTAACATACTCTAAACAACAAACAGTGAATGTGTGAAACTTACCTTTGGGACCAGTGCTGCCCTTTGCCCCGCGGAGAGATTCTACCACAGAAAGAAAATATAGACATATAGACACTAATTTAAACAAAATTAACCGAGTCCTAATTTAAATCTAAAAAATGAAATAGCAACAATACTAAAAGATGGCAGTTGCTGTTTGTGAAATTGCTTGTTTTCATGCTAACTGTTGGCATGAATTGTGTTGATGTCTTGCTATAGACTGACCAATCAGGTGTGACATGTGTGTGACATCACAGCTGATATAAATGGGGGTGTCTCTGTCTGTAGACCAGTTTTTGGCCCTGTGAGTAAAAGTGAGAGAAAGTAAAGATAAATTAAATTCTACTAGTTTAAATGAGAGCAGTCAAAATAACGCTCTGGGGGAGTTCTTGCCGTTTCAGAATTCTGGTAATCCTAGTGGCCGCGGCCTTAGATCACATCAATCTTCCTGCACTTTTATATTTTACAAATCTCCTCCATGTTCTGTTTGTCTGAGCCTTTGATGTCATCCACGGACTGTTCTACTGGAGTCAAAGTAAAGTCAAAGTAAAAGTAAGTAGACTATAGGGTAACATTTTAGATTAGCCCTCACTAATTACCCCAACCCTTACCCTAGCTCTAACCCCAACCCCAACACTAACCATAGCTCTAAACCCAACCCTAACACTAACCCCAACTCTAACCCCAACTCTAACCCTAACACTAACCCCAACTCTAACCCCAACTCTAACCCTAACACTAACCCCAACTCTAACCCCAACTCTAACCCTAACACTAACCCCAACTCTAACCCCAACACTAACCATAGCTCTAAACCCAACCCTAACACTAACCCCAACTCTAACCCCAACTCTAACCCTAACACTAACCCCAACTCTAACCCCAACTCTAACACTAACACTAGCTAAAGAGTTCAAGATGTTGAACAAGGCCATGTAGAATAAGGACTAATAAGTGCTTAATAAATACCAATTAAGAGCTATTTTACAATGACTTAAACACTAATTATTACTTAATAAGCTGTTTACTACTAACTAAGTGTGACAGACCAGGTTTAGTGGTTCACCTCTCGTGACGTCTGACCGTAGCTCCGCCCTGACCAGCTGCTCCACCGTGCGCTGTAGAGCCGCACTGTCCGCTGTGGCCCCAGAGTCTGCTCCGGCTCCAGCCAGAGTCCCCGCCCCCGTCCCCAGGTTTACGTTGATGCTGTTGGGGTCGGATCGTGACAGAGCGCCCTCTGCAGAGCTCCGGCTAACATAGCGTGTGTCCAAGAGGGGGTCGATGATGTTGACGCCGGCGGAGGAAAGGCGGCTGGTGTGTGCGGAGGTTGAAGTTCCGGTTATGGCCTCCAGGGCGTCCACACGGCTCTGCAGGCGTTTCACCGCTTCACCTGCAGATGGAGGTTATAAAGGTTTGGGTTAAAGCTGGGGTATACCTAACTTTCAAACCATAAAGCTATCTGTCCATTTAAGTCACTCTTACCAATTATAATAATGCATCAGTTTGATATAGCACATGTATATTTTGGACACTTAGAGAAGCTTCACATGTTTTGATTCTTTCACTCCAAACACGTCGGTGATGAACTACTGTAGTTAAGAAGCCACAGCTGCCCTGGGGCACACTGACAGAAGTGAGGCAACCAGTTTGCGCAATCGACCCCTCTGACCACCACCAACCATTCACACTCACACCAGACTCATTCTTTTTGCCTGTTTGAACTCAGCTTTATTTTTTTCATGCCATTAAATATAAGGCAATGACTTTAATCACGTTCTAAAAAAAATTATGGGTTGTAATATACTTTCCTATTTAAATTTTATTTTCTATACATTGTTTACAGAGTAGACCTGGGTGGTGCCTTCTCTCTACAGTTTAATTCTTTAGTTAACGTTCATCCCTTCCAAGATACAAAACTACACTCACTCAAAGCAATGAGACCAAAGAGAAGTCCGAGGAGCAGCAGTGAGAGGAGCAGCGCCCCCAGCAGCCACTTCCACCAACTGCACCATGAGCAGAAGCCAGAGCCGGAATTGTTTGTGCGGTTTTCTGCAAAAGTACAAGACTTTTAATAATAATGTGTCAGATCTCTTCAATAGGAATGCCATGATTTCAAATGCAATAGATACAATTATTGTGAGAGAAAAAAACACCATGATTCAATAATTATTTTTAATCCACCCACTATCAACAATTTAAATTTTAGTTCTAACCGGTTACATTTCTTAAAAAAATAATAACAGGGAACAAATTGGATGTAAACAGCCAAAAAACATAGACAGTTCATTGAGCATTGTTCCCACATCAAAAATAGACCTTGAGTTGTTTTTTGCTCCATCCCAGTTGTCTAAATCCAAACTTATTTGTATGAGGGCTACTTTAGTTTAGCGAAATGTAAAACGTGTTTACTCGATTTCAGATGTTTTATTCTAAGCTATGACTTGTCTATAATAATTCCCATTTGACAAACCTGAAGTTGGCTAAAAAACAAACAAAATGTATTGCCCCCTTGTGGTGGAAGTGAAAAATTACATACTGGGATTGTTTTTTTCCCCCAAACTAGAACGTTTGCATTCTAAAACATGAAATACCATTCCTAAAAAAATAGTCTCATAATGATAAGCAAAAATAAATCATAATATTTCTAAACACATTTCTGAACAATAATGTCTTCCTTCCTCTTATAGATTTATGTTGATGTGATTTGACTTAATAATAACACAAAACTATTACTCATTCGCCCATTTTTCCCTTGAAATGACAAAGCTAATGCGCAAGAATTATGACCACCACTCCTTTTGTGCAGTCTATTGTCTGAATGAGAAATTATGAATATATTTTTTTGTATTCATTTAGCTGTTTCAATTACATTGGGGACCAGACCAATCACAGTAAATGGTAGAAATATTGGCATCTCTACTTTACAACAGATTTCATAATTGTTGTCTCAATTGTTACCTGCAAAAGTCCCTTTATCTTTAGTGGATGCGGTGAAGCCTCCAGCTGCAAATCAAAAAAATAGTTACTAATAATCTCCCTATGATTTCACTATGTATTTACACTGCTCATAAAAAAAACTTTACATTTTGTGTCTGTTCCGTCTTCCATTGCGCTCGCAGTCATCTTCTGTTTCTCTCTCTTCAAAGAGTCGTCAGAATAGTCATCTAAGTACAACAACAAACACAATCTTATAGCTGTATATTGAAGCAGATTGTGGTGTTTCTGTGGTAAATACCGGTGAATCTGGAAGGAGGCAGAGACATGAAGCTCTTCCCAGTGTCTTTGGCCATGATCAGCCCCTCTGTCTCCTTCTTCACTGGAGTGTTGTCCTTCTCCACACTGATAAACTTAAAATCTCTGGCGTTGGACTCTTCTTTAACGGGGCTGCCAGCGCTCACTGCTAAGACACATGTTTTTATATTTAATACACACTTTGTCTTTGTGTTGCAATCACTGATGTTTGAGATGTTGTCGACCTGTGGTGGGACTCAGAGCGCTGCTGTACACGTTCTTCTGCACACCATACACTGTGAATACACAAAGTCAAAAGTTGTGTTTCTTGCAGTAGAGTGTACAGTATTTTTTACATTGTATACATAGTTCTTTTGTTTTTGAATCTGGAGCTGCAGAACAGCTGTCATTACTCCAGCAGTCAGAGTGGAGAGGGATGATGTGGAATCACTGCGCCACGGTAACAAACACAATGGTAACGGTTGCAGACAACATGGTAACAGACACCACGGTAACAGAAACCATGGCAACAAACACCATGGTAATAGAAAGCATGGTAAGAGACACTTTGATACCAGAAACCACAGTAACAGACACCATGGTAACAGACACCTTGGTAACAGACAATATGGTTCCAGAAACCACAATAACAGAAACCATGGCAACAGACACCATGGTAACTGACACTATGGCAACAGACAACACAATTACAGACACGATAGCAACTGAGTAGTCCACTTCAGGACCTGGGACAGCGCACAGTGGGGCTGTGACAGTTTCTAAGGTCGCTAAGGTTTAAAAAAATAAATAAAAATCTATTTAAGAAATTAATGAATCATTAACTTACACAAACGTATCACGTAAACATTTAACTAGTCATAACTGTTAACTGTGAATATCACACAGTAAGTTAGTGAGTATATAGGACCTTTTTACTTTCACTCCACACGATGAGCAGCGAGGTCGCCAGACAGGAGGCACATTCCAGGACTTTGGCACATGTTTTTTATTGTACTTGTCACAATAACAGGGGCCACTGTTGCCAAAACAACTTAGCAGTGACAGCAGTGTCTTGGGATTTGTATTATTATATATGAAATAAAAAATTGTATGTAATGTAACATTTTACCAATGGGTGCAGTGGAGGCAGAGGGCGACAGGAGTGGACCAGAAGCAGCCAGATTATTCTGGAGTCCATAAAGCGGCACTGGTGAGGACAAATCATGTATTAGTCACATGTTTAACATATTTCATTTGGTGGTAAACAGGGAAGAGTCAAATGGGAATAACATACATTTGATGAGTGGGTGAAACAAGAGCAGAGTTTAAGTTTATGGTTGTATAAACTTAAGCAATAGCATTAGAAAAACGCACAAATGGGATGTGTCAAAATTAAAGAACAATCCCTCAACATCACATGAGCGTTATTACAGGAGATTCTCCAGGTGCTGCTGCTCACCTGTGCTGTTCAATGACAGTCCAGAAGAGGGCGCTCCAATCGCCATGTTGTTCTGAACCCCTAGATAAACATTTAATTTGATTTATAGAATCTGCTTGAGTATTTCTTTGTTTTTATATGATCTTTAGCTCACCGGACTGGTACATGGTGGACGTAGACATCATGTTGTTGTTGTTAGCCACGTTAGCATTGTAGCCGTAGCTTCCACCCGCTGTGCCCGTCCACACACTACCATACTGCTCTATATGGACACAAAAGACAAGAACATTTATTTTTATATCACAATTCAAATACATACAGCGTAATGCAGGTTAGACATTACACCAAACATAAAAATAAGTCCAGTAAAATGACAAGTTTTTAGTTTGGCCCTTAAATGCACTCAGCGTAGGAGCACCAAGATGCCATTAGGTAGAGAAGTCCATTATAGGTAGCATAAGTGAGAGATTCTTTGAACTTTAGATTTTACTTGAGGAACAGTAATATTTGTAGGCAAGAATCAATAAGAAAAATAAACTTTAGGCTCCTCTACTGACAACAGAACAATGTTAAAACAAGAAAATGACTGTTTCTTTGTGCAAAAGCGGTCTTGAAGGCTCCCACAGTGATTTATGAGCTGGACACCAATGTATTATTCATATAAGGTGAAGTTTTGAAATCCAAGTCTGACTAATGAGCACCTGTATTCTGATGCAGCAAAGACTCCCACATATTTTGAATGTGGTTTTGTGTTTGCTCAAAGCTGAATCTGTGACAATACTATTTTGCATTTAGCCACCTTATCTAAAGTGAAAACATGGGATGAAGCCCAGGAGCCCACTATAGTCAAGGGCCTGTCAGAATTGAGGGGAAAAAAAAACCTTCAGAAATTCTTTTGTGGGACCCATAAGTGCTCCTATGTGTCCAGTGGATATCAGATATAATTGATGATTACTTCAATATCTATGTTTTTTCTAATTGTTTTTAGATTGCTGCATTAAGTGTACGATATCTTCCGTATTTTTCATGCAAGTTTCATCCTTTTTTTTTAATTGAATTTTTTAGAGTTAAACATTGATATTTTGATATACAGTGCAATAGCTCAGCTTATTTTTATGCAGAGATAGCAGGATAAGAACTTTTTTCTGGTATTTAGGGTTAGGGTTTGGTCTGCGAGGGAGGCTTTACAATCCTGTGTAATATAATCAGAATCAAAATAGTTACAGCTTTGTAGAAATAGGACTATAATCGTGATGTTAAAAGTGACAGCCATACTGAAACTACAATATTGACAAAACAAGTCGCTATTTGAAGGCAGATAAAACTGAAAGCTATAATTATGAGTGACATTGGGCACACAGACCTCCTGCAGAGCCATCAGACAGGGTCCTCTCCACGGTGCCCTTCTTGGGGATGGGCAGAGTGCTGTTGGGGGAGCGGGTGGGGCTGGTGCTGGTGGATCGGTTTCCCCTCAGCAGGCGCTTCACATCGCCCAGTTCTGTCCCTGATCCATCACAGCGTCAAAATCAGAAAAAAGTTTAAACCAGGGGAGTCAAACCGGTACTTAAAGGGCCAGGTTTTTCATTCTGACCCAGCAGGAGCGCACCAACAAACTTTATTTTAACAGCCATACGTTTTCAAAGTGCTGCACAGAGATAAAAGTAAGACATTAACATATACGGAAAACATTGAACATTAAGATTTTTATTTATTTATCTGAACATCTGTTGAAACACATGCAAGACATTCCACTCAAAGGGACGGCCAATTGCAAAAAAAATAATGTAAAAATATATTGGCAAGGAGTACACTCAGAACATGATGCTCTAAAGGAGTGGGAAGAAGTGTTAAACTAATGTATGAAATAAAAGTAATTAAAATAAATCCACACATTTCCTTAAATGTCGAAAGTCCGGTCTTAACCTGAAGTCTTGAGGAAATGGGTGGATTCTGGTGTTCTTTCTGGAACCAGTTTTTCACCCGTAAAATGATTCAATGATTCTACAAAAATCTAGTCTTACACATGATTCAACAAGTACTGAATAATATTTAGTTGGACTCACATGTTGCAGGTGGAGAAGAGCTCTGAAGCCTCGTTCTGATTTCAGTTTCTAAAGTTCAGTCAAAACGGATTTATATTAAACATATTCTGAAACAGTTTACCAGGAATTAAATGTGGAGGAGAGTCGAGTAGAGTAGAGAAGAGTAGAGTCGAATAGAGTAGAGTAGAGTAGAGAAGAGTAGAGTAGAGTAGTGCCGAGTAGAGTAGAGTAGAGTAGGGCTGAATAGAGTACAATAGAGTAGTGCCAAGTAGAGAAGAGTAGAGTAGAATAGAGTAGTGCCAAGTAGAGTAGAGTAGGGCCATATAGAGTAGAGTAGAGAAGAGTAGAGTAGAGTAGGGTCATGTAGAGTAGAGTACAGTAGAGTAGAATAGTGCCGAGTAGAGTAGAGCTGAATAGAGTACAATAGAGTAGTGCCAAGTAGAGTAGAATAGTGCAGAGTAGAGTAGAGTAGAGTAGAGGGGAGCTGAATAGAGTACAATAGAGTAGGGCCGTGTAGAGTAGAGTAGAGTAGGGCCAAGTAGAGTAGAGTAGAGTAGAGTAGAGTAGAGTGGAGTAGAATACAGCAGTGCCAAGTAGAGTAGAGTACAGTAGACTAGAATAGTGCCGAGTAGAGTAGAGTAGAGTAGAGTAGGGCTGAATAGAGTACAATAGAGTAGTGCCAAGTAGAGTGGAGTAGAGTAGAGTAGAATACAGTAGTGCCAAGTAGAGTAAAGTACAGTAGAGTACAGGGCGGCACGGTGGCTGAGTGGATAGCACTCTCGCCTCTCAGCAAGAAGGTCCTGGGTTCGAATCTAGGCTTTCTGAGTGGAGTTTGCATGTTCTCCCCGTGTCTGCGTAGGTTTCCTCCGGGTACTCCGGTTTCCCCTACCGCTAAAAATATGTACAATAGGTCTGGCATGCGCCTTGTGTGGAGTGAGAGGACAAATGCCCAAAAAATAACAATTGTAAAACCGCTTTGAGAATCAGATCTCCAGTGAAATGGTGGTATATAAATGATTACTTACTTACTAGAGTAGAGCTGGATAGAGTACAATAGAGTAGGGGCGTGTAGAGTAGAGTAGAGTAGGGCCAAGTAGAGTAGAATATAGTAGTGCCAAGTAGAGTAGAGTACAGTAGAGTAGAATAGTGCCAAGTAGAGTAGAGTAGAGTAGGGCTGAATAGAGTACTGTATAGTGCCAAGTAGAGTAGAGTAGAGTAGAGTAGGGCCATATTGAGTAGAGTAGAGTAGGGCCATGTAGAGTAGAGTAGAGTAGAGTAGGGCCAAGTAGAGTAGAAGAGTAGAGTAGAGGGGAGAGAGGAGCAGACTCTGGATCAGCTGGTTTGAGTCGAGATGACGTCACCTTCATACACGTTTTAAGTCGTGTGTGGTGTATCACTCAAATTATTATCACACATGTGCATAGGATTGACTGTGAAATGTGGTATAACTGGCACTATTCATTATTAGTAAATAAGTAAGTAAGCTTTATTTATATACCGCCTTTCACAGACCAGAGTCACAAAGCGGTTTACAATTGTTATTTTTGGGTATTTGTCCTCTCACTCCACACAGAGATGGGAGCGGGGTCGCCGAACAGGAGGAGCATGCCGGACCTATTGTGCATGTTTTTAGTGGTACAGGAAACTGGAGTATCCGGAGGAAACCTACGCAGACACGGGGAGAACATGCAAACTCCACTCAGCCACCGTGCCGCTCGGTGTCCATTAGTTTCCATTGTATCCATGTAATATTTTACTTGGGGTGTGAGTCTATAAGCTAAATGAGAAATCGTAAATTAAAATTGTAAATATCAATACAATGCTATGCTACTGTTGGACTGAATGTGTGTGTATGTGTGTATACAGGCCGACTGTGAATAACTTAAGTATAATATTATCTCCTTAAAATAATAGCAAAACAATGTAGATATTTGTAAACTACCGGTCTGTATGAATGTAACTATTTCAGCTGGAAATGAGTCCATGTGGTCTGTCCATGTACCTCTGCTTTGAGAGCGCCCTCTGCTGGCTGTGGTTGTAGAGGTACTGGTCGTGTCTGAAAAAAGGGATAAAATAAAGTTGAAAAAAACAACACACACTGAAAAAAGTGTGCAGTTAAAGCTATTATTTATATTATTATGAATGAAATAATATCTATTTATTAACAATAACTGAATAGTATGAAGAGATATTGAAGACCCCTGTGGTTCTAACACTTACTGTAGTCTTTCCTGTTGTACTCAGGGGAAGAATCAGTGCTGGAAATTTCTGGAACAAAATGATAGATTACAGATTTTTCATTTTATTTCATTAATCTGACCAAAAAGATCCATCCATCCATTTTCTTCCGCTTCATCCGCTGCCGAGTCTGGGGCAGCAATCTACGGATATACACCCAGACTTCCCTATCCACACACACATCCTCCGAGCTCATCCGATGGAATCTTGAGGCATTCCCAGGCCAGTTTAGAGACATACTGTAGTCACCTCTATTGCCCTGGGTCTTCCCCTGGTCTCCTCCCGGTGGGACATACCCGGAAAACCTCACTATAGGGAGGCGTCCGGAACAGAGACCCAAGCCAAAACTTGAACTTGAACTAAAAATTCAAGTTATAATCAACTTTCACTTTTCTCTATGGAATCAACCACTCTATTGTTTAATTTCCCAATCACACAAAAAGCAAACTTGTAATGTATGGTTAAAAAAAACAAGAACATACGTAGACACAGACAAACAGGAAATAACAGGACATGAGATTTGTACATTACGTTTCCTGTATCATAAAGAATCAGGTTTTATATGATACAGTAAATGCATGTAAACAACATAATGTACATATCATAAGATTGGATATATGTAAGTAATATATCCCAAAATATCACAGAGGAAATGCAAGGGATGGGAGATCAATGTTGAAGTATTGACATATCGATACTAGATATTTTAAAGCCACATGTCAAATGTATTTCACATTGATCTTTTATTCCAGCCATAATCAATACCAATATCTGCAAACGTCATCATTGTCAATAATTTGCAAATATTAATAGCAATTAGCACATGTTAAGATTGTCTTAATGCAAATAAAACTTCACACTTTTTTTTTTCATCGAAACACTTTATTATCAGACTATCTGTGCTGTTTGTCCGCTACAGTCTTTTATCTGCATCTGTGCTGGTATACACTCACATTTGCCCAAAGTACCTAGAATCATATTGTAGTAATTGTTTAGTGTTGTGCTAATTTTTTTATTTGGGTTTTTATGTTATGTCCATTTTTCAAAATTTAATATTTTTGTTGCCAACAATAGTATATTTTTGGTAATTTAGATACTTTGTAGATGAGATGAGATGAGTTTTAGATTAGGTTTAGTTTAGTGGCACCTACATGTAGGGGATAAATGTGAAACCCTTACCCTCCTCCACCAACACTTTTTGCACTACAAAATGCATGTTTTGTATCAAATGGTGTTCAATAAAAAAAAAACAAAAAAAAAACATAGGGGATAAATGTGGGCAGTACAGGGACGGCCTTCGTGCACCTATAGTTTTTCACCAGTTCAAAAAGATGCAGCATTTTTTGTACAATAAACTTTTTAAACTTTATATTTTTGAATGGATACTGTACATCGCCACATATACCCATGATGCATCTCACTGATTATTTGAGTAAATTTGTTTTTAATTTTGGTTAATTTTTTGTTAGACAGTTTATTTGACAAACAGTCACTACACTCACTGGTTTTAACAAAAGAGAGCACATTACCCCTGTATTAGCATCCCTCCACTGGCTCCTTGTGTGGTTTAGAAATGATTTTAAGATTTTACTGAGTACTTTTAAATTACTTTTATTATGCTGAATGTGCAGCGCTTTGCAAATGCTGTTTTTGAAAAGTGCTCTGCAAATGAGTATGTATTATTATTATTATACAGTAGTACACATATTATTAATAAACCGGTGTTATCTCCCCTCCCTTGAGTTTGCTTCAGCTTCATTTCATAACTCTGAATTTTTCCCGCTGGAATAAACTTTCTCCTCTGATTGTTACTGACCGTCGAACACGTCAGCAGCGCTCTTGCTCAGTGCGGTGGACGAGGAGTACGACAGCTTCTTGCTTTCTGCTCCAGAGCCGTAACTCTTGCTTCCTGAGGACCCGGTGACACCGAGGCCCCCGTCCGCCCACCCCGCACCACCACCACCGCCCCCGCTGCTGCTGCTGCTGCTCACAAACCCCGAGGAGGTATAAGACGACCCCCCTTGACCCCGAGTGCCTGCTGCTGAAGCTCCGCCCCCAGAAGCAGAAGACAAGGCCACAGAAGAAAGTGAAGCTCCGCCCCCTGAGGAATATGAGGTTGAAGAATATGAAGCTCCGCCTCCTGAAGAGTATGAGCCCCCGCCTCCAGAGGACACCCCAGATGAGATAGACACCCCCCCTGCACTGGCGCCCCCTGCTCCTCCTGCTGAGCCACTGCTGCTGGACGAGGAGAGCAGGACAGAGCCGCCGCTGGAGGAGACCAGAGGAGATCCAGCCCCAGAGAACTCACCTGAGGAGACACACACAGGTACAGTTATAGTATAGTATAGGTCCCTTGTTTATCGCCATGGTTACGTTCTAAATATAACTAACTGTCTATAAATGAAATCCGTGAAGTAGCAGCTCTATGTTTTAAGGCTGTAAATCCCTTCACACACATGTATACATCTTTTTAACCACCTGAAATCACGACTGCTGAAGATATCAAACCTGCTGTAGGTCTGAGCGCTGCTGCAGCTGTCAAAAGCCGTGCATGTACTGTTAAATACAACTGCAGAACAAGGACATTGGACAAATACAACACCAATAAGATCTCAATGTGTGTTTATTTTATTTTTTTACTTTCTAGGCTCTTCATGATTTGCCTTTGCCTCGAAAGTCAACCCTGCACTTTTAGTTACCAATGTGTTTTTTTTTCTTGTGTTTGAACTATTTGATTTTATGATCTGTGTTGGTGAATTCAACAGTAGAGTAAAGTCCTCCGAGATAACTACTATTGTGATTTGGGGCTATACAAGAATGACTGGAATTGAGCAGGACTGACGGCTACGGGAAGACAGAGGTAGTCCCCTAAACTAATCATACAAGCCGCACACATATTCTTCGGACTTTAAATGAAGGTAACTGTCATATATAACTGTTATTCTAAAGGTTATGAAGTTGTCAGGGCTAGATAATAATACATTTTTGAATTGCACACAAAAATCCACCAACGAGGCCGCGATAAGTGAACCATAATATGCAGACACACACACGATCACACTAACCCTTTTTCATCATCACAAATTCCCCCCAAAATGGTATCTGCCACAACACGTTTAACAGGGCAATCCATTATATTTAGTCCAGTCTCAGGAATTGTAGTTTATTATTTGAGCAGAAAGTCATTACTGGCAGATATGAGGCAGATACGAGGCAGCTGTCAGGCAGGATTTTAGTTCAGCTCCAAGAGACAAGCTCAGGCACAGGCCCACTCAGACTCAGCAATTTTATACGGAAAGTGTTTTGGTAAGTGGTGTGTACAAGTGGGGAAGGTGAGTGAGTGGTCTTCAATAGTGACAACCAAACTAAAGCAGGCGTCTACAACTATAATTTACTTTTATATTTTTAATTTGCACTCTTGGGTTGTGAGTTTAGTTTACTTTGTTTCAAGTATACACAATGAATTAGTGTAGATTATGTACAACAACAACATAAACAAGTAAGTTCTGTGTTTTCATGGATCCCACTGATGAAGCTCCTCGCGGATAAATAAAGTTATTTCAATTGAATTTGAGTTGAATTGAGTAAGATAAAGAAAATTCAAAGCTTCTTGAAAAGGAGTGGGATGAAATTGAAAACGTGTTCATTCCCACCAACCTCTTTCAATGTGTTTATATATAATTAAGAAGACTTCCTTACGAGCCTGGCCTTAGCCATCTGTAAACTCCGGTCAATTTTTATTTCCCTACATGTGCAGAATGAAATTAGTACGATGGTGTGGTAAGACCAGGCTACTTCCTTACTGACTGGCTGATTAACTTGGGAGGACTGTTGTTTAATTTAGTGGAAAACAACACATCTAAAAACATATATTCCAAAAATGTTGTCTCAAGATTGCCTGGAGTTACAGAAAGGAGTGTTTTTGTGAGCACAATATGTATGAGAAACCAGAACCAGCACTTGGAGAGCACATACCCCCGCCAACACCAAGAATCATCCCAAAATATCAATGAGATCGTTTAACCATCGCACCATATTTCAGCTCAATCTGTCAAGAAATGTGTACACAATCCTACCTACAGAGACTGACAGAGACAGATATACACAAATAGACACACACACACACTCGCACACACACTCGCACAATACCCCACCCTTACTTACTCTGTGTGATCACTTTGGTTGTTTTGACCACTGCAAATAGACAAGAAAGTGAAATTAACAGGCAAAAGTGATTACTATGTGCTTAAAGCTGGGGTACCTAACTTTTTGGTACTACTTTGGTGGTAGTATCATTATTATAAAGGTATACCATCTGTTGTTGGGGCAGAAATTGGATTACAATATGTTTTCTTCATCTTCGCTACAAACATTTGTATCCGTTAAGAAGGAGCCTTGTGAGTCGCTATTCTACACCAGGTGGTTTGAAAGTAAGGTACCCCAGCTAGAATGTAATGTTGATTTAAAACTGGGTTAAGGATTAGAAATACAATAATATAGAAGATAATGCCATATACTCCGAGAGAAAGAGAGATACAGAGCGATAGAGACAGCGAGAGTGACAGAGAGAGAGACAGCAAGAGAGAGAGACAGCGAGAGAGAGAGAGAGAGAAGCAGAGAGAGAGACAGAGAGAGAGAGGGAGACAGAGAGACAGAGAGAGATAGACAGACAGACAGACAGAAAGAGAGAGACAGACAGAGAGAAAGAGAGATTGCGAGAGAGAGGTAGAGAGACAGACAGAGAGAGAGGGAGAGAGACAGAGAGAGAAACAGAGACAGTGTGTGTTTGTGTGTGAGAGAGAGAGAGAGAGAGAGAGAGACAGAGACAGACAGACAGTCAGAGAGACAGAGACAGTGTGTGTGTGGTTGTGTGAGAGAGAGAGAGACAAAGAGAGAGAAAGAGAGAGAGAGAATTTTGGGCCAAGCTTATACAACTAGACAATTTGTAATAATTGCCATGTTATTTGGAATATTGAAAAAAAAAAACGTGTTTTACCTTTGGTCCCTCCTCCTCCTCCTCCTCCTCTTCCTCCTCCCCCTCCACTGTTGCTGACCAGCCTGGTGAGGACTGCGTTCTCCATTCACTCCACCTGTGACACAAAAATGCATTCAGGTGGTTATTTGGACAGAGGAGCTGGAGTTAAGTCAGTTTTTCTATAGATTGTGGTGAACATTTTTCTAACCTCAAGGCAAACAGGTCTCTGAATACGTTTTGTGATCTGTTTTGTGTGATTGTATTTCTGCTCTTTCATCCCTGTGTCCGCGAGCCTTTAGAAGTCTCTGATTTAAAGGACTCCCCTGGAGCAGTGTAGAAAAGGCGTATCAAGCTTCAGAGTAACAATATAGACCGCAAAAATAAGCTGGAGAGAGGGAGAGAGAGAGACACAGGTTGAGACAGATAGATAGATGTATAGATTCTGTAGATAGATAGATAGATACATTACGAGATCCTTTATTCGTCCCACAGTGGGGAAATTTCAGTGTTGCGTCACAAGTTACAGAACAGTAGGAAAGAGGAGCACACGGCACAAAATAAGTGAACAATAGCTATACTGATAAAAAATAAAACAAAATATTTAACTATAGCATCAAAGAACAAGTATAAAATCTCCGTCTTGAGCATAATAATAATAATAAAGACGTACAAAAATGTTATATTTGGCAAAATAAGAGGCAAGTATAAAGTACTGTGTATTCTAACGCAAGCAATGTGTAGTTATATGTTTGCATCCGTACATAGATACTGTAGATACAGTAGATAGATAGATAGATACTGTAGATAGATAGATAGATAGATACTGTAGATAGATAGATAGATACTGTAGATCAGCCATTCCCAAACTCAGTAACACCGAGGCCCCCTTAAAAATCTGACGGGTCTGCGTGGCCCCCCAAAATAATAACCAAGAAGACAACATTAAGAATAGGCTCTTCTGGTTATTTTATTTTGGGGAAATAGCCTCTGCTACAAACATTGTAATACAAAAATGATTACAGTGGATTATTCAAGTCAAATAATGAACACAAATATTTTAATATTACAAACAAAACATTATAAATTTAACATTAAATAATAATATTTTTTTTTTATTTTTTTTATGACCTCCCGCGGCCCCCCTGCAGTACCCTCGCGGCCCACCAGGGGGCCGCGGACCCCACTTTGGGAGACACTGCTGTAGATAGATAGATAGATATATACTGTAGATAGATAGATAGATAGATAGATAGATACTGTAGATAGATAGATACTGTAGATAGATAGATAGATAGATACTGTAGATAGATAGATATAGATAGATAGATACTGTAGATAGATAGATAGATAGATAGATAGATAGACACTGGGGATAGATAGATAGATAGATAGATAAACACTGGGGATAGATAGATAGATAGATAGATAGACACTGGGGATAGATAGATAGATAGATAGATAGACACTGGGGATAGATAGATAGATAGATAGATATCTTTAAACCAAATTATATTAATTAATAAATATTACATTTTGTTTGTCCAAACCGAAATAGTATTGTAAAAGTAAAACGTTTTTCATTTTTTTCCCCCACTGTTTTTTTGTTATTGTCGTTCTTTGCCGATGCAGGAGATTAAAATACAGCAATGAACTATAGTGATAGATCCAAACTGTTTTGAGAGCAGGAAATACACAGATTATAGATTTACAAATAGATTTTACTACAACATGTGTGGTTTCTTATAGGTACCCCAGCTTTAGCGAAGATAGAGAGATAGAAAAGAAATGAGACGGTACTCCACATTTTGTCCACATTACTGCCCACTTCTACTTCTGCAACTATTCGACCACATTACTTCCATCTACTTTTTCCATGATCGTTTAAACACATTTATGACAGCAAAACATTTAGTATTGTTATCGCCTGAACAAGTTGTACCAAAACATGAATGACAGGAGGCCAAACCCGGCGCTGGCTCCAAACACAGTCATTTCAGACAGTTTTGCTCCTGCAGGCGATATCTTTGAGAAGGATATCAAAGATTATGACAGGTGAATTAAAAGAAGTCATTTACTGGAGACGCTTCAACTTTCTGATTTATCTTTAGCGTCTAAAAGCAACAGATGTGGCCTGAAGCACTGAAACGTATCATGACCCAAAAGCAACCAAAAAAAAGTCATAAATCAAACTTATTCCAACTTATTAGGCCCGAGCCCCGAACGGGGTAAGGGCCTATTGCTTTCACAATGGTGAAAACAAATGGTGGCGGTGCGTGACGGACGCGTCAGCGCCCGTCACTCACCAAAACGTGACGGTTGCGTGCGTAAACTCGAACACTTTAAAATGATGTATCACGTGCCATTGAAACCTATATTGTTTTTGCTCGAGACGTCGAAAAAAAAATTCCTTTTTTATTTCTTTCTTTCTTTCTTTCTTTCTTTCTTTCTTTTTTCTTCTGCACTTTGAGCCTTAATTTGACCCCCTGAACATGCATGAAAAGTTGTTAAATTTTGCCCAAAAATCAGACCTGGCGAAAAATTTGATATTTTGGTGTTTATTTTTATGGGACTCAAAAAATGCCAGAACAGCGCCACCTACAACAGCCAAAATAATACCCCTATGGGAGTTCTGAGGATCAAGTTTGTTGTAGAGTCATGAAATTCGGTACACATGTTCCGCAAGTCAAGACAAGAAAAAAATATTATTATGGCTCCGCCCTCTGACAAACAGGAAGCCCATAAATTTCACTGCAAAATGGAAAAATGAACAGCAAAAGTATTCATACATGTCGGTTGGAAAGCGACTCCTCCTCGGCCGTTTCACCGATTCGCCTCAAAATCGCTCCACATCATCTCAACACATGTACCTTCAAAATGACCTCAGGGATTTTTGATCAGTGAAACATTGTTTGAGCAGCGGAGCGGCAAAATGTGACCTTTTTTGGCCGTTTTTGACAACATTAAATTTGCTCCCGTTTGCACAAACAAAGTCTGATTTGCAAAAAACATTAATACATTGTTCAACTCTAGGGTCTAGGTCGTTTTAAAGTGAATTAATTCAAATTGACACATTAGCGCCCCCTACAGACTATTTCAAAGTTTTAGATGGGCATTTTCAAATTTAGTTTTTTCAAAATGTTTGAAATTTTGCACATAAATCTGTTTTGCCCTCTTGATTCAAAAAGTCAATTGGGTCCAAGGTTTATTTTTTACCCTGTTGCCGTGGCGACGAGAAACGCCCCCATTCATTGCAAATGTACACCTCACACAAACATCAAACCAGCCTCGGCTGTTTCACCGATTCGCCTCAAAATCGCTCCACATCATCTCAACACATGTACCTTCAAAATGACTTCAGGGAATTTTGATCCGTGAAACGCTGTTTGAGCAGCGGAGCGGCAAAATGTAAGGGTTTTTTTGGCTCTTTTTGACAACATTAATTTTGCTCCTGTTTGCACAAACAAAGTCTGATTTGCACAAAACTTTCATCCATTGTTCAATTCCAGGGTTTAGGTCAGGTTAAAGTGAAATATTGGAAATCGGCCCCTTAGCGCCCCCTACAGACTGTGTCAAAGTTTACATGGGGAGCCAAACCAGCTCTACTTATCATATTCATTACAATTTGACTAACATTCTTCTATGGCTACGGAAACAAATCATCACACGGCGGTGCTACCTCCTTTTAGCGGTGCTGCGTGGTACGGTGTGGTGCGGCGTAGTGCGGGGCGTTGTGGAGCGGCGCGTTGCGGCTTGGTGCGGGGCGGCGTGGTGCGGGGAGTGCGCGCGGTGCAGGGAGTTGCGCGGTGCGGCGAGGGCCGTTCGACGCCGCTTGCGGCTTTAATTTCTTTCTTTCTTTCTTTCTTTCTTTCTTTTTTCTTCTGCACTTTGAGCCTTAATTTGACCCCCTGAACATGCATGAAAAGTTGTTAATTTTGGCCCAAAAATCAGACCTGGCGAAAAATTTCATATTTTGGTGTTTATTTTTATGGGACTCAAAAAATGACAGAACAGCGCCACCTACAACAGCCAAAATAATACCCCTATGGGACTTTTCAGAGGTCAAGTTTGTCGTAGAAACATGAGATTTGGTACACATGTTCCTCACGTCAAGACAAGAAAAAAATATTATTATGGCTCCGCCCTCTGACAAACAGGAAGCCCATAAATTTCACTGCAAAATGGAAAAATGAACAGCACAAGTTTTCATACATGTCGGTTGGAAAGCGACTCCTCCTCGGCCGTTTCACCGATTCGCCTCAAAATCGCTCCACATCATCTCAACACATGTACCTTCAAAATGACCTCAGGGATTTTTGATCAGTGAAACATTGTTTGAGCAGCGGAGCGGCAAAATGTGACATTTTTTTGGCCGTTTTTGACAACATTAAATTTGCTCCCGTTTGCACAAACAAAGTCTGATTTGCACAAAACTTTATTACATTGTTCAACTCTAGGGTCTAGGTCGTTTGAAGGTGAATTAATTCAAATTGACACATTAGCGCCCCCTACAGACTATTTCAAAGTTTTAGATGGGCATTTTCAAATTTAGTTTTTTCAAAATGTTTGAAATTTTGCACATAAATTTGTTTTGCCCTCTTGATTCAAAAAGTCAATTGGGTCCAAGGCTTATTTTTTACCCTGTTGCCGTGGCGACGAGAAACGCTCCCCATTCATTGCAAATGTACACCTCACACAAACATCAAACCAGCCTCGGCCGTTTCACCGATTCGCCTCAAAATCGCTCCACATCATCTCAACATATGTACCATAAAAATGACTTCAGGGAATTTTGATCAGTGAAACGTTGTTCGAGCAGCAGAGCGCCAAAAAGTGGCGTATTTTTTTTCAGTTTTTGACAATAGAACAACTGTTTCCGTTTGCACAAACAAAGTGTGATTGGCACAAAACTTGAATCCATGGTTCAACTCTTGGGTCTAGGTCAATTGAAAGTTCAAATTTTGAAATTGGCTCTATAGCGCCACCTACAACAGCCAATTTAAAAATGCCTATGGGAGGGGTTCAAGGTCAAAATTGCCGTAGAACCATGTAATTTGGTACACATGTTCCTCAAGTCAAGACATGGAAAAAATGTTATTATGGCTAATC